GGAGGCACTTGCAGCTGGGAATTGGATTTATGCTGATGATTGCTCCTCAGTTAGTGATAAAAGTAGGGTTTGCTCACCTTGCCCCTTTTATAGTATAGTTTGTAACCACAGAGTCTTTGCATAATAAAAAGTTGAGAGGAAAAAAGAGGCTTCCCCTGTATGTATTTTTTTTCTTATGAATATTATCACCTTGCCAAAGGGGCAGGGAGGCCACATCTTCTGACCTCCTCTAACCCCACAGGAGGAAGACAGAATCACCATCAGTAGCTCAAGGCCTATTCCTGTGAGGCCAGACATGCTGCCTCCCTCCAGCCCTTTCTCCAACCCTGACACCAACCATTCCTCCCGCAGCACTCACCACCTTTCTGCTGGGTTCGATAATTCACTTCAGTGGCCACACAGAAACTCACAGATTATGGGGTTTATTAGGGAAGCACCAGGCTACAATTCAAGTTCAGGAAAAACGCTCAGTCTCTCTCAGCCTGCTGTCTCTCAGCCAACAGTCTCTCAAAGTCTCTCTCCCAGCAGTGCGTGTCCCTTGGTGTCTCTGTCAGCAATGTATGTCTCTTGCGTCTCTTTCCCAGCAGCGCTTGTCTCTCAGGAGTGCATTTCTCTTGGGAGAACGTTTCTTTCAGCAGCTCGTCCTTCTCAGCCAGCAGTCAGAGAGAAACATCTGTCTCTAGGAGGCCTCCTTTTGAGACTGTCAGAGTGGCCAGACTAGCCAATCATAACATCAGAATTCTAAGTACCTGAGAGAGAGTGAACTTCCCAGAACATTGCTTTGTGCTACCCCCAACAGAAATACCCCAGATGGATAACTTTTACAATCAGGAACTACTCAGTTGCTCATGGAAAATTCTACCACAGAGTTTATAAAGACTTATGGCTAGAAAAGCCACACTGTTTAATTTGCTATACCGTACACCTAAATAGGTTTTTTGTTTTTTAAAGGGAGTTAATTAGGAAATGGAATCCACAGGAATTGAACACCTTAAGGTGGGAGAATGGGAAAAGCTTGAGGAACTGTAGGATTATTGCCAAGTTTTGGGCTTAAATGTCTAGGCTCTAGATGGATGGTGATGCCATTGATAAAAGAAAAGAACTAGATTTGTCAAAGAAGATAAATGTTGATTTAAACTTATTGAATTTGAGCTGCCTGTGACAGATGGACTGCTCTCCCAACAGTTATTCCTCCTTTTATGAAAGCTTTATTGAGATGTAATTCACATACTATAAAATTCACCTTTTTAAAGAATACAATTCATTTGTTTTTAGTATACAGTACTTCTCACTTAGGAGCTGTGGTGGCATAGTGCCAAAGGCACTTGACAGCTAACCAGAAAGCTGGCAGTTCAAACCCATCAGCCACTCCTCAGAAGGAAAATTGGGCAATCTACTTCTGTAGAGATACCGCCTGGAAACCCAAGGGGAGGGATCACTGTGAGTCGAATCCACTGGAGGACAGTGAGTTTGTTTTTTTTAACTCCTCACTTACTGACATGGTTAGGTTTTAGAGACCAGGTTGTTATGCAAAAATTGGCCTTAAGAGAAAAGCAGTTTACATCATTACCCAAACATGTTGATGGCAAGTCATTTCCAACTCACAGTGACCCTATAGGACCCAGTAGAGATGCCCCATAGGGCTTTCAATGTTACAAATCTTTGCAGAGGTGAACTGTCTCATCTTCCTCCCACAGAGGTGGGTTTGAACCTCTGACCTTTTAGCTAGCAGCTGTGCACTTCAACTACCATGCCACCAGAGAAGGCTCCTTATATCATTATATAACTGCCAAACTACTGAGAATCATGGTCCGACCATCACAGCCAGTGTTACTCTTGCCTTGCACCTCAGCATTCTTTACTCCCAGATATACCTCATTAATGGACAAAATGATTGGATAGTAGACTTCTACTCTTGTCCTAAAAATGTTATGTGAGATAATGAGATAATTGGTAAATGAGGAGTAGGTGTCTTCACAGAGTTGTATAGCTCTCACCATTATCTCATTTAGAACATTTTCATCATACTAAAAAGAAACCCTGTACACATTAGCAATCACTCCCATTCACTCCACTCCCAGGTCCTGGCAACTACTAATTTACTTTCTGTCTCTGTGGATTTGCATATTCTAATTAACTCGTATTCCTCACCTCTTCAAGTCTTATTTTTTGAGTTCTCTCTTAGAAAGGACTGTAGGTCATGTGTAATTACTAGTTTGCTAACTGTGACTCATCCTTTTCTCAGTGAATCCAGTACTCGTAAAAATTAATACACAGCACATAGCAGACTTGCTGGTGTTTGAGTGAATTAATTAATTTATTCACAAAATTGCATTTGGTGATGTTAAGAACCATTGCATAATTAAGAACCATTGCTTAAGAGTATTTAAGAATTCTTTACTGTGACTTAGAAGGACCTCTCCTCTGTCCCTTGCCTACCTTTATACCCTCACTGCTTGGCATTCTCTGGCTCACACTTGATATTCCCCCAGCACTGAACCTACTGATAATTCCTCATGAATGCCATGTTTTTTCACTTCCTTGCCTTTCCTCATAACATCTCTTCTATTTAGGGTCCCAGGACTTTCCGTTTGTCCAGTGTCTCATAACTCAGTCAGAAACTCCCAACCGAATTCATTACCATCGAGTTGATTCGGACTCATAGCAACCCCCATTGGGTTTCTTTTATTTATTTATTTATTTTTAATTAAATTAAATTTTTTTTTTATTATTTATTGTGATTTGGGTGAAGATATACAGAGCAAATTCACTTTCCATACAGCAGTTCACATATACTTTGTCTCATGTCACTGACCACAGTTTACCACAATGCAACAGCCCCCCTCCCACTTCATCCCCATAGTACCACTTCCCAGTGTCTATCCCTCCATACTCTCCTGCCCCCTGAGCTGTCTCCCTGTGCATAAGCTGCCCTTCTTTCTCCCATGATTGTTCTCTCCAAGGAGTGTGTCTACTTGAGGTAAATGTATAACTCACATGCCTGTACTTTGTTTGGCTGGAAACCACAGGTGTGGGTTCAATTCTGGACCTGAAGGGCAGCTAGGGGCCATAGTCTCAGTGGTTCACCAGGCTCTATTGGACTAGCAAACCTGGTCCCAACCATATTTTTTTTTTTCCCTCCAAATGATTTTGAGTTTTGTTCCACATTGTTCTCCCTCTCTATCCAGGATCTCCTACATCCCTTCCAAGTGGATGACAGTGGTAGCCGGGCACCATCTAGTTCTTCTGGTCTCATAGTTGTATAGGATGCAAATTGGATGGTGTACCAGTCACGAGGACTGATTGTTTCCATTAATTTTGGTTTTCTTCTTTCTTCTTTGCTCTTGACGAGGAGAGGCCCATCGTTGCATCTAGATGGCAGCTTGCTAGCTTTTAAGATCCCAGGCACTACTCACCAAAGTAGGAGGTGGAACAATGTTTTGTTAGCCCCATTGGGTTTCTGAGGCAGTGAATCTTTTACAGAAGTAGATGGCCCTCTCTTCCTTCTGTGGAGCATCTGTGGGTTTGAACTGCCAGCCTCTGGTTAGTAGTCAGGTGCCTTAGGCCCTGCACCACCAGAGCTTCTTAACTTGGAGTCAGGGGATCAGAAATTTTAGTCTTCCCCTTCTAGGGAAGCCTGAGTACAGAGCCCTTTATTGTTCTTACCATATTATACTACATAAAAAAGTGTTTATATGTTTCATTTTTGTAGACCAGGGATCTTTGAACATTGTACTGCTCACCTGTCTTTACCTTTTATCCTGTACCTTATTTTACAGACCAGGGATAACTATGAGTTTTTGATGGCAAGAACTCAATGAATGTTGATCTGAACTCTTCCTCAGTGTCTTGTATGTTCTTTCTTTTTACTCAGGGCATGAAATCTTCCTAGGGATTGTGTTGAATCTATAGATCATTTTGGGGAACAGGCCTTATTTAGTTTTTTATTGTTCGATTCAACAGACATAGAATTACTCTCAACTTTATGCTTAATTTGTGGACCTTTACTGGTACATGGACCATACATTGAGGAGCACTGGCATAAAGCACTCTGGTAAATGCTTTACAAATTTTATTTAATTCTCATAACAGTCCTATTAAGTAGCTTCTGTTATCATCATTTATAGATGAAGAAACTGGGGTACAAAGAAGTTAAATAAATTGGCCAACGTCATAAATATTACCCAAAACATCCAGGATTCAAATCCAGGTAGTCTGTCTGCAAAGTCTGTGTGCTAGTCTGCCTCTGGTTTCACAAATATGAAATGAAATAACATTCTCATCTGAGAATGTCACAAACAGGTACAGTACAGGCACAAACAGTTACAAATCAGAATATTGAGCAGCTTGCTAATCATGAACAACTGTGTGCCATATATTGTAATGGGAGATCAAGACTGACATATAAGGTGGCTTAGAGTGTAGTGACTAGAACTTTTATCTGTTATTTGATAAACATTTAAATGTTGTACTGCTCACTTTCTATATACTGTACTGTATACTTTCTGATAAAAATAACTCATTTGTCTCATAAGAGAAGGTTAAGGGGTCACCTAATGATTTTCATCGAAGAGTAGCATAATGCAGGATGCTGACCAACTCTTTTTTAATACTCATAGTGAATTAGCATATGCTTAAATTTTACCTTCGTATTAAATTTCCCTGATTTGCAAAACAAAACAATGATGTTATTTCTTTGAAATGTCTTTGTGCTATGACTTAGTTTCATTTACTGAATACTTTGTTTCTCCTTGTTCCTCTTTACTTCTTACTGGATGTGTAGTCAACCAAATTGTTAACCTGTTTTTTACAGCTGTTTGTATTTAAGAACAAAATGTAAGTAAGTCATGATCAAACATTATGATTTTAATAGAGTAGATGTTCATGTTGTTCTTCTAATATTTTATATCATGAAATTACAGATTTAATGAAATAGAAAATTTTAGAGTATTTCAACATCAGTATTATTCATAAATTTTTTCAAAATCTTCTTTCTGTAGAAATCTGGTTAAGAAGTACTGTCCCAAACGGTCATCCAAAGATGAAGAACCAAGGTAATTTAACATATTTAAGAAATATTTACATTTTTATTATTTTGTAAGATAATTATTATGCTATTAGCTTTCTTAAGTTTATTTTAATTTAAAAATACCAGTGTTTATGAAACAAAGAACTACTGTTTATCTCTTAGAAAGATGAATTGTGAGGTTGATCAACAGTTTCCTAGAATAGTTCAAGTGTGGGTTATTGAGTAAGATGTAGATGGGAGCTCCACTTGAATGATTTTGTCTCCAGAAGAACAGGATATTATTTCCATTCTTTGTATTGTAACTATCAGATTGTTAGAGTCTTGCTTTTACTATTATAAAACTACGGAAGTAGATTGCCCAACCTTCCTTCCGAGGAGTGGCTGGTGGGTTTGAACTACCAGCCTTCTGGTTAGCAGTCAAATGCCTTAGGCACTATGCCACCAGAGTTTCCTTTACTATTATAGGTAGTAAAATATTTTTACCACCTATAAGAATTGATTTAAAAAAGAGAGAATGAAAAAGAATGAGGGTGGGTTTAAAGGGATAATGAAAAGGAATGAGGATTTCAGAGTAATTTTGAATAAAAGATTAGGAATCTCTTGTGGGCTTTGGGCAGTTTTAAATAGGGATATGTGGGTGGTTGTAGAATGTGGAGAGAAAAACTTCAAAAAAAAAAAAAAGCCTTGTATAAAATTGTCGATTGTTAGGATTCTAAGATATATTGTTAGTGGAATACTATCTAAGTTGTCAGCCTTCAACTGTAAGAGAGTGTTCCTTAGTATATTCAAAGTAGATATATAATTTTAATACAGTGATTTTCTTTGTTTCTCTCCTTCCCTCCACACACATTTTTTACCCTTATTTTTGCCCCCCTCTCCCCTTTTGGTGCCAACCATAATGGTACTTCACTTCCATTCAGGATGTGGGCAGGCATACAGGCAGCTGTGTCCAGAGCTGATAGAAAAGTTATTCTGTAGAGCAGCCATCGAGATGCATTTGAGTGGTATGATTGGCAGGTTCTGCCTTCCAGAGCATGCACATCATCTCTGCAACAGGTTCAGCTGCCAAGCCTAGGAATCCAATCAAGTTCATTCCCAAGCTCAGGCCAGTCAGTTGGCAACTTAAGAGATTCCAGTATGTCAAAAGAGCCTACAGGTAGTATTTTTATTACTTTTTGACCCCAAATATCCCTTTATCTATAAATTAAGTCTATTTGAAGATATATAAACACATACAACTTGAGCTTAATGCAGGTTTCTTTCTATTTTAAAATGAAGCTGAGCTTAGGTTGATTATGTTAAAATTAGCTAAGTGTCAGGTCATTCCATACCTCACAAAAAAACATTTGTAATGAATATTAAAATTAATTTCACCATTTTAAAATATCTTTTTGTCAGGTTTACCTCGTGTATAGCCTTCTTTAACATCCTTAACGAGCTAAATGACTATGCAGGACAGCGAGAAGTAGTTGCAGAAGAAATGGCGCATAGAGTATATGGTGAATTAATGAGATATGCTCATGATCTGAAAACAGAAAGAAAAATGGTAATTCTTATTATTTGTATCCAGTCATTATAGTATATGAAGTATTTTCACATCAATAAGAATTACTTTGCTTTTTAAAAATATGTGAGCTTAACACAAACTGGTTTTCTATTTTGCCAAATTTATTCCATTTACAGATTATCTCAAGATGCTTTTATTAATTTATGAACCTTTTGGATTTAACATCAGGGGTTGGCAAACTCATGAGCCAAATTCAGCCTATTGTCTATTTTTGTTTTTTAGTTCCTATGTAGTGCCTAAGGCACTTGACTGCTAACCAGAAGGCTGGCAGTTCAAACCCACCAGCCACTCATCGGAAGGAAGGGTGGGCAATCTACTTCTACAGTGATACTGCCTCTGAAACCCAAGGAGGGGTCGCTATGAGTTGGGTCTGACTCGGTGGCATTTAACAACAACAACAATATGAGCAAAGAATGGTTTTTTTTATTTTTAAAGGGATGAAAAGAAAGATATTTCTTGTCACGTGAAAATTATATGAAATTCAAATTTAGTGTTGTCACATGCCTTTGAATCAGTTTAGACTCATAGCAACCCACAAGAGAGTAGAACTGCCAGATCTTTTCTCCCACAGAGCCACTGGTAGATTTGAACTGCTGACCTTTGGGTTAACAGCTAAGCACTTAATAATTGTGCCACCAAAACTCCTCCAGTGTCCAGAAGTATAGTTTTATTGCAACAGACCTACATTCATTCACTTATGTGACTTCTTTTGCATTATAAGAGCAGAGTTGAATAATTGGCACAGACTATGTAAGTAAAACTCCAAACTGAACCCATTGCTGTGGAGTTGATGTTGACTTATAGCAATACCATACAAAGCCTAAAATATTTAGTATCTGATCCTTGATAGAAAATGCGTGCCAACCCCTATTCAAGACAACCATCTCTTTTTCTAAAGGTTATATCTGTTTTGAAGGTTATAGTATTTGTAGTACTGAAGTAATATCTTATAAAATATATTTTAAAGAATCTTACTTTAATAATAATCTCTTCCTAAATGTTGATTATTAGTGCTTTGAAAAAAATAGAAGGCCTTTTTGTGACTTTAGACTTCATTTAGTATTTAAATGCAACTATTTATTTTTTTGGTTATTATATGTTAATCTTTAGCATCTCCAAGAAGGACGCAAAGCTCAACAGTACCTTGACATGTGCTGGAAACAGATGGATAATGTGAGTTTCAGTATTTTCATAGTTAACATAAAAATGTATAGATGGATTTGACCCTAAATTCTCTCATGGTTCATATATGAGTTTAATGTTTCTCTAATTTGACATTGGTTTTGTTGCATAATAACCAGTAAAGTATAAATGTGGAATGTGAGATCAATTTGGCTTTTTTTTTTTCTTTTCTGTTTGCTTCTGTACATCCTTCAGGTCTTTGTAAACATTTAGGGAGATTCTTTTTTGACTTCATAGTAGTTACCATAAAATATTGATAAAGAATAGAAGTATAAGGAAATAATGAGGTGTCTTGGAAGACCATTTGAGACTCAGAGGACCCAGATTCTAGTTCTCCCCTTTTCTCTAGCATTTGATTTCTCTTGACTTCATTTTTAGCATAAGAGTATGAATTATATATTTTTTCCAGTTCAGTGCTTCTTTAATTCTGTGCTCATAATATCAGCTGCTGGTCAGAGACCATCCCATTGTAGGAAATAAAATACACCTATAGGGCAAAATGATAAAATCATAATAATTTACTTAAACACTTTTCCAGAGGTGCTTGTTAATGTGGACTTTCTTAAATGTTCTGGCATTTGGTCATTTGAGAAACAAGATGTAGCCTCCATGACTTAAAACTGTTCTACTAATAGTGTTTATTACCAGCACTGTGGTCTCCCTAACTTAAAAAACTCTTATCAAATTGTGTTCTATAGTATAAGATTAATAATTCTTTTTTGAGCTCTTAGGTTAGTAAGCAGTTTACTCTTAACTTACATATTTCCATGTTGGACACTGCATATTCTTTGAAAATTATGTTAAAGGGAGTTTTTCATGTTAAATTGATCGATTTAATATGTGGATATTGGAAAAAGGACTTAAAGATCAAGAACAAACAAACAAAGAGTGTTTTCAGCCTTTCTTTTTCCCCTTTTAAAATGAATACTCCATAGATTAAATTTCTCCTATTTAGCTATCATGTAGATTTGAATTATTAGTGCTAAATGAGAATTATTAGATATATTAATAGTCTCTTTTCATTTCCTTTCTAATTGGTTTTACCAAGACTTTTAAGGAATTTTTATGTTTATTGCATTTTAAATTGTCTTAACTGATATCTTTAGAACCTGCCAACTAATGAGTATGCATTTGTTTGCTTGTGTGTATGGGTGTGTTCATTTGCACAAAATGACAGACTCTTATGCTCATGAGTCATAGATCTCTTTAAATTGGTGTTGACTCAATCTATTCTTATTATTATATACTGACTTGTCTTTAGAACTATTGGTAGTTATTAAGCAAACATTATAGAGGTCATAAGTAGGAAAGAAGCATAAAAAAATGTAGGAGATTATTTTTTAAGATGTAAAATGAGTTGAGCTCAACTCATGTTTATTGAAGGCATCCCTGACACGTGCCATGCAAGCTCTGGAGTTACAAAAGTGAATGCAACATGAATTTGTGCGCAGTTTAGTGGGGGAGACAGACTGATGTATACGATGTCAGTGTACTATGTAGACATGGGTAGGATCCCTTGTTTCTTATCCATGTCTTCCTGACATGGAACTATTACAAGAAAATAAAGTTGATAGAATTCTTACCGTGTTTGAATTAGTTAAGAGGAGGGGTAAAGAACTAGGAGAGATTGAATTAGTGACAGAGTAGTAAAAGGTAAGGATATTTTTAAAAAAGATAGTTATTAACCCCAGGCTAAAATGCTCAAGAAATATGCTCAAAGAGCATTAGCATTTAAGATAAAGACAGACAAGAGTAGCCTATGAAGGAGATTTTGAAAGAATGGTCAAACATTAAGAAGATAGAAAGGCTAGAGATACCAGGTATATGAGTTAGAATCCTCTAGGTAACACAAGCTTACAAGAACAAGATCCAGAAGGAGAGAGCAGTTCCAGAGTTGGCCTCAATGATGTCACTAAGACTGCATCTCATTTCCGACTACCTACTTTGCCATCTTGGCCATGTTCGCTTTTTCCGTAGTTTTGTCCCCTATGGTTGGCAGATGGCTTAATCAGCTGAATACCATATCCTTTTCCAGTTATATCCAGATGCAGCTCTAGAGGGAACATTTCTCTTCCAACTCTCTCTTTTATTCCGATCAGGAAAGAAGACATTCCAAAAAACCCCTAGTGAACTTCCTCAGGGTATCTTTAGATTAGATTATTTGCCTATGCTCCAGCTGTGGGGAGATTAGGAAAGCAAGGGTCTTCTGTTTTCAGTCTCTGTACTGGGAAGTATCTGCTGTTTTCAGCTGAGCAAGGAAGAATTAAGGGTGGGAGAGTAAAAGTAGGTATTGATTAGTCTGTCACACAAAAGATGAACAAAAAATAATATTTTCCAGAGTATTTTCCTATATTGTATGATGATACAATATCTTTAAGAGAAAGAATATTTTTAATATAATTGCACTAGTGGTTCTTTTGTTACTGCAGGAAAATTAGGTAGACTTACTATTCTCTCCATAAATATAAAAAATAAATAAACAAAAATAAGAGCTCTGGTAGCATCATGCCTGAGGCACTTGACTGCTAACCAGAAGGCTGATGGTTCAAACCCACCAGCCACTCCTTGGAAGGAAGTTTGGACAGTCTACTTCCATAGTGATACTGCCTCAGAAACCCAAGGAGGGGTCGCTATGAGTCGGGTTTGACTCGACAGCTCAGAAGAACAACAACAACAACAACAATATAAAAATACTTTAGAAGTAACCTCAAATTACACCAGAATCAATGACCTATAATATCTACTCATTTTGAAAACACAGTTCTGAAATGAGCTTCAGAGAATTAAATATGGACACTTAATTTTAGTCTTCATAGGAAATTTACATTCTATATATTATGCACAATCAGCAATTTTTATGTGCTTTGAATAAATTGTAAATATTTCATTTGCTGTCTTAGATGAATCAAAATAGTAAATAAAGCCTGCATTTAAAGAATTTTATAAAAATTTTAAATACATTTATTTGAAAAAAATTACAGGAAACTTCTGGCTCTAGGTACATGGCAAACTGAGCTAACTCTGAAACCTTTGGCCTACAAATATTTAGATGTACTGGCTAAAATGTTTTTTATTGTATTTGAAATGCCCAGCTAAGCTACTTGAAAGAAACGGAAATCTCTAAGTGTTAGAAACTAAGGTTAAACTGAAAGCCAATATCATAGGTACATGAGCTGATAAAGTATCATTAAGGCCATCCTGTTTGTGGTATATTCTTGTCAGAGTGACACTAGGTAACCAGAACATTGAGATTCCTGCTTTCTTCTTGTGAGCAGTTCTCAGAATGCAAGTAGGGTATATATTCTCCAGACAAGAAATTGGAAGTCTATTCTGGGGAATCTCACCAGCTAGAGCGAACAGACCTAGTGATAGGAGGGTTTCTCCAAGGAAACTGGCTGGTCCCATAATCCACAAGCCACATCTACAGAGTTTCCAGTGGACTTGCTAATAAGAGCAGATAACCAAAGTCCTCAGACTTTTTAAAGAAAGCATCTAATGTGAATATAAGGAGCTCTGGTGGCATAGTGCCTAAGGCATTTGACTGCTAACCAAAAGGCTGGCAGTTCAAACCCACCAGCCACTCCTTGGAAGGAAAATTGGGGGCAATCTACTTCCATAGAGATACCCCCTCAGAAACCTAGGGAGGGGTCGCTATGAATCGAATTGACTTGACAAGCAGTGAGGTTTTTTTTTTTTTTTTTTTAAAGAATGTGAATATCAGATTAAAAGCAATATAGGGGTGGGGTGGGAGGCATAAAAACCAATTTAGAAGACTCAGTGATTATATAAAGAAATGACAATTAAAAAGCAAAAACCCTTAAAACCATTATTAATACTCTCTGAGGAAATAGAGATGATAGATGTATCTATGAAACAAGAACAGGATATTATTTTTTTAAAAAAAAATATATACTAGCAGAAACTAAAAAACTCATTAGAAAGTTGAAATTGATAAAGTTGAAAACATTTCTTAGAAAGTATAGCAAAATGACAGAAAATAGAAGAAAATTAGGGGACTCATCTGTAGGTTTCATATTCAAAATACTAAACATTCTAAAAATGAGAACAAAGAAACTGGACAAAAATATTCAAGAAATTATCCCAGAACTAAGTAAGAGATGTGAATTTCTAGAAGGAAAGTGTTTTACAGGTGCCCAGCCCAGTGGATCGGCAGCAAAGGACAATACGCTATTTACGTATTTATACGAAATTTCAGAACACACAGGAGAAAGGAAGGATCCTACTAGCTTCCAAAAAGAAATAAACAAAAGGAAATATAAACATGCTTTATGCAAAGGATCAGGAATCAGATTGGGATTAAACAACAGCCATGCAGGAAGTTAAAAAGAAAGTAGAAAAGTGGTACTTTTAAATTTCTGAAGGAAAATGACTTTCAACTAAGACTTCTTATTTCATCAAATTGTATCAATTAAAAGTGATGGTAAAGGTATTTTCAGCCATGGAGACTCAAAAATTACCTCCCGCAAAACCCTTTTAGGAAGCTACTCTACTGATGTGCTCCAGCAAAATGAGGAAATAAACCCAATGAGAGGAAGGTGTGGAACTAGGAAATAGGAGATCTAAATCAAGAGAGGAGTAAAAGGAATCCCCATGATAGTGGTGAAGGGAAAACCCAAGACTATAGCTATGTAGATGTCTAGATGGTAACCAGTCCAGATTCCAGCAAGTTAGGAGGTTTTAAGACAGATTTAATCAAGAAAATAAAACTGATAAAATTCCTTATGTATTTGATTTCAATGAGAAAATATTTAAAGAACTGGAGCAGATTGGAGTTGAGTTAGGGATAAGTTCATTGAAACTCAGCAAAAACAAACAAACAAGGGCACTTACTGACTCCAGGATAAAGGAAGTATGCAGGAAAGGAAAAATGATATGATATATTACAAGACTCAGTTGTGAATAGAATTGACAAGGTCACTTTAAAGTCAGTTATTAGACCCCCCCCCAAAAAAAAAAAAAAAAAAAAAAAACTGCCCCTATGCTGGGTTAAGGTGCCTGGGATGCCTGACAGAGAGAATATAGAAATACTTTGGAGGGATACCCCAAGCCATGTTGGGGTTCACACTGAGAAAAAAGAAAAACAACAAAATCAATAATAATAATAAACCAAAAAATTCCTGCTCAAGATGATTTTATGGTTAAAATTTACAAACTTTTTTTTTAATGGGGAAGAGTCAAGATATATAATAAATATTAACGCAGTCGTGCCTGTTATATATTTTTTCTTTATAGTCTAGTATTCATGTCTGATATTTAAGGCTGTGAATGGGTTTTAATAGTAACATTTATTTTCTAATTTAGAAAAGACATATTTTATTTTAGTGTGCAGTTCATGTCTCCAAATGTGTAGTGATACCATTTAAAAGTTATTTCTTAATGAGATAAATCTAATTTTATATTTCAGTGTGATTATTTCAATTCTTTTAACAGAGTAAAAAGAAATTTGAAAGAGAATGTAGAGAGGCAGAAAAGGCACAACAGAGTTATGAAAGATTGGATAATGATACTAATGCAACCAAGGCAGATGTTGAAAAGGTAAGGAATCTCAACTGGCTTTAATATTAAAATATTATTAGTTACATATAGAAAACATTGTTGTTAGGTACTGTCGAGTTGGTTCCAGCTCATAGTGCGCTATGTACAACAGAACAAAGTACTGCTCAGTCCTACACCATCCTCACAATTGTTAAATACTTGAGCCTGTTGTCACAGCCATTGTTTCAGTCCATTTTGTTGAGGGACTTTCCCTTTTTCTCTGACCTTCTACTTACCAAGCATGATATCCTTCTCTGGGAGTTGGTTCCTTCTGACAACAGGGCCAAAGTATGAGAGACAAAGTCTGGTCATTCTTGTTTCTAAGGAGCATTCTGGCTATACTTCTTCCAAGACAGATTTGTTTGTTTCTAGCAGTCCATGGTACATTCAGTATCCTTTGCTAACACCACAGTTCAAATGCATTGATTCTTCTGTGTTCTTTATTTATTTCCTAGCTCTCAAGTGCATGTGAGGCTAGTGAAAATAACCATGGCTTTGGTCAGGCACACCTTGGTCTTTACAGTGATAGCTTTGTTCTTTGACACGTTAAAGAGGTCTTTTGCTGCAGGTTTGACCACTGTAATATGTTGTTTGATTTTTTGACTACTGCTTCCATGGGTGTTGATTGTGGGTCCAAGTAAAATGAAATCCTTGACAAAGTCAGTGTTTTCTCCATTTCTCATGATGTTGCTTATTGGTCTAGTTGTGATGATTTTTGTTTTCTTTTGTTGCGGTACAATCCATACACAAGGCTATAGTTTCTGATCTTCATCAGTAACTGCTTCAAGTCTTCTTCACTTTCAGCAAGCAAGGTTGTGTCGTCGGCATGTTGCATGTTGTTAGTGACTCTTTCTCCAGTCCTGATGCCACATTCATCTTCTTATAATCCAGCTTCTCAGATTATTTGCTCAGCATACAGATTAAATAAGTAAGATGAAAGGATACAAATAACCCTTAGGCATACCTTTGCTGATTTTAAACCATGCAGTATTCTGTCAAATGTCTGCCTCTTAGTCTGTGTACAAGTACCTCATGAGCACAATTAAGTGTTCTGGAATTCCCATTTTTTGCAGCGTTATCCGTAATTTTTTAAGATCCACACAGTCAAATGCTTTTGCATAGTCAATAAAACACAGGTAAACATCTTTCCATTATTCTCTGCTTTCAGTCAAGATCCATCTGCCATCAACAGTGATATCCTCATTCTACCTCCTCTTCTGACTCTGGCTTGAATTTCTGACAGTTGTATGTCAATATACTGCTACAACCATTTTTAAATTATCTTTAGCAAAATTTTGCTTGCGTGTGATATTAATGATATTGTTTGAGAATTTGTGCATTCTTTTGGATCACCTTTCTTTGGAATGGGCACTGTTTTGGTTCTCTAGTACTTCTGTAACAGAAGATACCACAAATGGGTAGCTTGAACAAACGGGTTATTCTCTTACAGTTAAAGATGCTAGAAGTCTGAGTTTAAAGTGCTGGCTCTGGGGGATGGGTGAAAGCCCCTTGACCTTGGGCTTCACCTCTGCCTCTTACTCCCTGCTCACTGGAACTGGAGGCATCTCTTAATTCAGGCAGATGCTGCCTGCTAAGGCTGACAAACCCAAGGTTGACAAGTAAAATGGCACAGCCCCAAGATTATCAAGCAATACAGCAGGCCACTAATTCAAGTCCATTAACAGTCCCAAAATTAACAGACAACATGGCAGGCCATTGAGATGAAGACTTGGCTACATGCAGGGTCCAAGCATGCCAAAAAGTTGTAGAGACCTTTCTCAAAGCTGTCTTCTTATATACTAGAAGCTGACCACATCCCTAAGGCAGCTATTCAGTTGCTCCAGTAGATTCTACCATTAAGTTGATTACCAGTGTCATCATGGGGAATAACTACATCTAGCTGCCCAGCCACTCAAAACCAGGCCCAGCCAAGTTGACGATATATAACCTTAACTACCACAAATACTGTTGATCATATACTGCCTCCTGAAATGGTTGAACATTGACCAATTATTTTTGGTACAGTGACTCTGATTCCTTTCTATCTTCTTTTGATGCTTCCTTTATTGTTCAGTATTTTGCCCCTAGAATCATTCAGTATTGCAATTTGAGGCTTGATTTTCTTGACTTCTTTTAGCTTGAGAGATGCCAAGCATGTTCTTGCCTTTTGTTTTTCTAATTCTAGGACTTTGCATATTTCATTATAATACTTTGTCCTTTCAAGCTGCCCTTTGAAATCTTCTGTTCAGCGCTTTTCCTTTTACTTCATCATTTCTTCCATTTGCTTTTAGTGACTCAACATTCAGGAGCAAGTTGCAGGGTCTCTTCTGATATCCGTTTTGGTCTTTTCTTTTTTTCCTGTCTTTTTAATTACCCTTTACTTTCTTCATATATGATGTCTTCCCACAACTCATCTGGTATTGGACCATTGGCATTCAGTGTATCAAATCTATTTTTCAGATAGTCTCTAAATTCAAGTGAGATAGATATACTTAAGGTCATATTTTGGCTTTCATGGACTTGTTTTAATTAGCTGCAGCTTCATCTTAAACTTGCATGTGAGCAGTTGATGGCCTGTTCCACAGACAGCTTCTGGCCTTGTTCTGACTGATGATATGGAACTTCCATTGTCTCCATCTATAGGTGTAGTGGATTTTATTCCTGTGTAGCCTATCTGGTGAGGTCCACAAGTATAGTTGCTGTTGATGTTGGCGAAAAAAAGTTATTTGTGATGAATAAGTCGTTAGTCTTGCGAAATTCTATCATGCGATCTCCAGTGTCATTTCTATCACCAAGATCATATTTTCTAACTACTGATGATTCTTCTTTGTTTCCCACTTTTGCATTCCAATCACCAGTAATCAGTACATCTTGATTGCATGTTTGGTCAGTTTCAAGCTGGTAAAAATCTTTAATTTCTTCATTTTTGGCTTTAGTGGTTGGTGCATAAATTTGAATAATAGTAGTAGTAACTGATCTTCCTTGTAGGTGTATGGATATTATCCTGTCATTAACAGCATTGTAGTTCAGGATAGAGCTTAAAACATTCTTTACAATGATTAATATGACCATTCCTGTTTAATTTGTCATTCCTGGCATAGAGACCATTAGATTGTCTGATTCAAAATCGCCAATACTAACTCACTGATGCCTAGGATATTGATCTTTATACATTCCATTTCATTTTTTACAACTTCCAATTTTCCTGGATTCATACTTTGTAGGTTCCATGTTCTGATTATTAAAGAATATTTGTAGCTGTTTCTTCTAATTTTGAATTGTGCCCCATCAGCACATGTAGGTCCAGAAGGTTTCACTCCATCTATGTCATTAAGGCCATTTTCATGAGGCATTTCTTCTCCAGTCGTATTCTGAGTGCCTTCCAATCGAGGATCTCATCTTCTGGCACTATATCACACAGTGTTTCCCTGCTATTCATAAAGGTTTTCAGTGGCCAATTTATTCAGAAGTGGACCTTGTCCTTCTTTGTAGTTTGTCTTAGTCTGGAAGCTCTGCTGAAACATGTCCACCATGGGTGACCCTGCTGGTATTTGAAATACTGGTGGCATAACTTCTTGCTTGATAGCAACATGCAAGGCACCATAGTATGACAAACTGACAGATAAGTGGTAGGTAGGTAGGAGAGAAGTCAAAATATCTGTATCAGTGTTAAAGTTTCCCAACAGATACACTGCATTTAAATCTGAGATATATGAATATTTGCCTATTTTAATTTACACATAATGGTCTGATAAGGTAATTAATAGAAGTTCTGGTAGCGTAGTGCCTTAAGGCACTTGACTGCTAACCAGAAGGCTGGCGGTTCAAATCCACCAGCCACTCCTCGGAAGGAAGGTTGGGCGATCTATTTCCGTAGTGATACTGCCTCAGAAACTGAAGGAGGGATTGCTATGAGTCGGGTCCGACTTGATGCAACTTAACAACAACAACAACAAGGTAATGTGCTAATTACATTTATTGATAAAAACTTTTATGTCTTTGCTGTCTTCACAATACATAGGAAAGACATAGTTGCTACTGGGAATGAGCTTCCAATCACAAGAGAAAAACAAATAGTTTAGAAGGCCTGCAATGTGTCAATGAGGTGTGTAGTTTGCTTTTCCAAGTTCCCTGGTGGGAAAACATAAAATTATCAGAAGTATGTGATGTTAAATATTTATTTATCCATTATTCATTCATTCATTCACTCATTTTGGAAACTAAAACCTCTCATGTTATACTAATTGATTTGGGGGCAGATGTTATGTAGCATAACTATTGGTAGGATCAACCCTGTCTTGACTGCCATTTAGTTTCCTCTTCCCTGTGTCTCCCATACTTATGCTCTCTAGTTGATTCTGAACCATAGTGACCCTGTAGAACAGTAGAACTGCACCATAGGGTTTCCAAGGCTCTAATCCTTATAGGAATAGACTGTTAAATCTTTCTTCCATGGAATGACTGGTGGGTTTGAACCACTGACCTTTTGGTTAGTAGTGAATGCTTTATCTGTTGTCCTATGAAGTTCCTTTGTTTTCTCTTCCCCAAAACCTGTTGCCATCAAGTCCATTCTGACTCATAGTGACCTTATAGAGCAGAACAGGGTAGAACTGCCCCATAGAGTTTTCTGGGTTATAATCTTTACTGAAGCAGACTACCACTTTCTCCTATGGGGCTGCTGGGTGTGTTTAAACTGCTAACCTTTTGGTTAGCAGCTAAGCACTTAACCACTGTGCCAGCAGGGCTCCTTGTTTTTTCCTTAGGATTTTATAATTCCCTGTAGGATCCAAATGAGAAAAAAGAAAGAAGAAAGGAATAATTTGTATCCTGCCTTCCATTATCTTTATCAATTAACAAAAAAAATTAAAATCATATAAATTCTAGGTTAGGATTACCTTAAAGGTATGGTAGTGTAACTCATGATGCTTGTATCTTTTCTACCCTGTAATGATACCTTTAATGATAGTATGTTCCCTGTCATTAGAAATATACAATTTCAACGCAGGCTGTTGAGCCTTATTTTATTTTTTTTCTACAGCTTTAACGTTTTATTCATATTGACCCCACTGTTTCTTCCTGCTCAGTTTTATTTTCTTTGAGGTACCATAGAAAAATACCCAATCTATTTTTTCTCATAACAGCTATTTAGAAATTTGTAGATAAATTTTCGACCCCCAGATGAATCATTTCATTTCTTCAACTATTCCACATATGAAACAGTTTCAAGTTACCTTTCTTTCTCACTACTTTCCTTTGGATACACTTAAATTTATCAGTAGCCTATTTAAAGTACATTACCTCAAATTGGATATAATAATCAGGTATGGTCTGATTAATCCTGAGTTTGATTACCTCTCTTTCTGAATGTTACATTTGTGTTAATTTAGTCTAAATGAATATGAACTGTGGGGTACCACGTTGTTTGGAGAGACTCCTGTTGAGTTTGTGGTTAACTAAAATCCCTGTGTCTTTTCATAATAAGCTGTGATATATGGGTATGTGTTTCTCAAACAGGCCTTGTGCTGTTGATATTTTACATTCATATATACATCTGTGTCAGTAGTTTTAATCCTATTGTTAAGATTTTTGGATTCTGATTTTAATCATCCATTATATTAATTTTCTTTCCAGCATCATGTCATACATATAATTGATCACTGTGTTATCAGTAACTGATAAAAATATGGACCACAATAAGTTGTAGACAGTGCTGTTTTATATGTGAGACTTCCTTGGAGGTTGATGCTGATGCCTTAAGAAATCATTTGGCTTGTTATCAAACATTGTTTGATACATAGTTTGTGAAATAGACAAGTAAAGGTTACTCTTTAACTAAACTTTCATTTAGCTTACTCTTCATTTTGTCTACAGATATATCGTTAGAGACTAGTCAGACATCTTGAAATCTTGATATAACATGTCTACAAGTTAGTTTGGCAAAATTTGTTAAAAATTAGTTTTGCAGCTTCCTTTTTATGTTCATTTTTTTTTTTTTTTTAACTCCTTAACTTACTAGAGAATTAGTAATACTTTTCAGGATTTGCTGTAGGAACTGAAGAGTAGAATAGTTCTGTTTTAAGTAACCAAGGAGGATAAGAAAATAGCTGGAAATTAAAAAAAAAAAATTAAGGTGGTTGGGGGGCTAAGGAGCAGCCAATTACTAGGTTTCCTAAAGAAAAGGAAGGCTGTATCTGTGATGCTGAGAATATGCCAGCTCCTAGCCTTATACTCCTACCTACTCTGCAGGAACCTCTGCCCCAAGTCATGGGAATCCCAGCCAGGGGCTTGAAGCTGGGAGTGTTCCCCTTGTCAGAATAGGTTTTGTGGATGGGGAATAATTAGGACTCCACTATTGCACCATACTTTTTGGAGGAGGTGTATCAGAGGAAGAAGTAAATAAATGTGTACTTAGAGTCCGAGACTGGAACTTCAAGTATATTCTTCTGTAGAAATTCTTTGGGCTATAGTGTTTAGTTTCCATGGTATTTATTTATCATACTATTCAGGTACACTGTGTATTAAATGGACTTTTGTCAGTTTATCTGGGATCATGGCTACCATACTGACAAAGAATGTTTTTGTAGTTTGGTTTGTCTCTGAGTTCAGAATAACTAACTTAGGCTTTTGTTAGAAGGTCAGGGACTGTATTTGTTGAAACAAATTAGAACAGTGCAGTATGTTGCATTCACAATGTGCTTTATAAGTTATAAAACATTGTCATATGAAATGTTTTATTTCTTGGAGCACTGTAGGAAATGTAGTTGAATTCTAACTTTTTTTTCTCCCATTTATTTTAGAACAGTTGAGAAATCTGTTTAGATTCTCCTTTAATAAATCTAGAATTAATAATTTGTGTAAAGTATATATTCTAACATTCTAACCGATGTGATTAATACTAACTTGACTTAATTGAAAAGCATTCTGCAAGAAGAGATTGAGATGAACCCAACTATATTTAAAATACATTATTTTATCATTATTTGGTCTCACTACAATTCTGAGTTAGCTATAAGTAGATAAAATTTAAAAAAATGTTTTACTACAATTTTCTTATTGAAGCTGTTTTTGTCTTCTGACTGAAAGCATACTGTTTCAGCTATGATGTTGTCATTTATTAAATTTTAAATGATATTGCTAGTTGAAAAGTTAGCAAACTTACCACCTCATTATTTTCTTGATGTCCAGGTGTTGGTTTCTCTATAATCTAGTTTGGGTATAATGCAGAAAAATGAGTTAGCTGTGATTTTGATGATGTTGATAATGATTTGGGCCAATTTGCCTCCAGGCCAAACAGCAGTTGAATCTGCGTACGCATATGGCTGATGAGAATAAAAATGAATATGCTGCACAGTTACAAAACTTTAATGGAGAACAACACAAACATTTCTATGTGGTGATTCCTCAGATTTACAAGGTAAATTTTAGATATATGAAGTTAACCCAGCTTTATAGTTGGTAGTGCTATTTTTCAAATGTAAAACTTAGTTTTAAAATTCCAGATATCAGAATGTTTTTAGATTCGCCAGTCATAAGATCGGTGATAAGAGATTTCTTCATGGTTATAGATTTGAAAAGTAAATTTTTGCTAACTTTTAAATCTGAAGTTTTCTTACAGATTTTTTATTTTTTTGAGATAAACTTTAATAATTTTATCATTAAATATTTGCTATGATCTAACTCACTGCCTTCGAGTCAGATCTGACTCATAGCGACCCCTCCTTGGGTTTCCGGGGCAGTATCACTATGGAAGTAGATTGCCCAATCTTCCTTCCTAGGAGTGGCTGGTGGGTATGAACCTCCAGCTTTCTGGTTAGCAGTCAAATGACTGTACCACCAGAGCTCCTAGGGGGTTCTCATTAAAATTTTATATTGTAATATACTCACCTAGAATGGGAATGCAGCCTTTTGACACCATGCCAGAATCATTGGTGTTAGTCCAGGTGCCAGAAATAAGCCTTATAAAAGGCTTGTATTTGCTAGCCTGGTTTTTGTATTCTTATCTTCCTGACTTTTGTGCCATCATAATGTAACTCAGGCCTTGAGCTTGTTTAGAAATCCTGTCCATCATCACTTGATGATTGTTGTTGTTGTTGTTATGTGCCATCAAGTTGGCCCCGACTCATAGCGACCCCTCCTTGGGTTTCCGAGGCAGTATCACTATGGAAGTAGGATTGCCCAACCTTCCTTCCGAGGAGGGGCTGGTGGGTTTGAACCACCAGCTTTCTGGTTAACAGTCAAGTGCCTTAGGCACTATACTACCAGATAACAGTTGCCAAACAGCCCCAGACAAAAAACCCAGAATTGACCCAAGGGTTAAATTATGTTACTGCCTTTTTTAGAAAGAAGAGAAATTGGGAAAAAAGGGGTTTAGTGAAAATGTTGTATGAGGTAGTATCTAGGAGAACAGAGCTTACATGGAAGGAGTATACTTTTTTCTTTGAAAGGAAAGTTAGAAGTACAAAGGAAGCATAGTGAGAATTGGTGGACTAGAGTGAGTATCAGTTTCTGGTCATTTAATCCAGAGCCTCAAGCCTGCCAGTCTTCACTCTGTGGTGCTTTTCCAGACTTACTGGCAAAGCCTTCTTATTCTAAGGAGGTCCTAACCTGGAGGTAAACAACGTTTTGTGTTTTGGGGCTGATCCTTTTGTTTGATCCTTGCTCTGGAGCAGTTGTGCCATTGTATGATGCTAGGGAGCACTTCTTTTATAAAAATGCAGGTCTCAAAATAAAACTCCTAAGCTTCAGGAAGTATAGAGGAAAAGTGATATGAAGACTGTGGGAATATGGGAACTTGAACATTCCTAAGAAGCAGGGAGAAAAATCAGTTGGCAAACAGGAAATGCCAAAAAATATGGGCCTTCATGTATCCCAATGTATTTCATAGCGGCATGTTGAATTTTTTAATTGTGGCGGTCCCATATATGTGCCACTTTGTGCTTCCTGTTTTTTCCTTTTGTGTTCCCACCCCTTAATTATTAAATAGTCACTCTGAGCTGTAGACAGTGGTAGGTCTGTGTACCTCTTGGTATGCAAACAGTACTCTTGGTTCAGCTAGATCTTAACAAAGTAATTTTGAATTGACTTCAGGGATTAGAAGTCTCAGATTTATATATGTTATACATCAATTTTTTTTCTTAATAAAAAGCTCCAGAATTCTGCCTTCAAATGAAACATTTTCTGAATGCATAAATAAGAGCTGCTCAGACTGAAGAGTGAAAGGTGAAAGTAGTATATAGCATAGAGCTGTTAGTAGTTAAGGGGTCCTTTTAAGAAGGCTTAAAAACCAATGCCATCTGGGTTTAAAATTTAGTAAAAGCCAATGTTACCTGATTTCTAGTACTAAAAGCCTTGATCTTCTCCCCCCACTTCTTTTGCTGTTCAGCAGGGCTCAGGTTTTAAATATTTTAAGTCTATATAACACTTGTTAAAAAGAATTAACAAGGACAGTGTAACTAGTAGGCTGTAAGGAATCTTTAATTTTTTTGGAGGAGTCATTAATTGATCTCTTTCAGAATGAAAAGAAAATTCAGTTTTCCTTTTTAAAATGTTCTTTATTAGCAACTACAAGAAATGGATGAACGGAGGACTATCAAACTCAGTGAATGTTACAGAGGATTTGCAGACTCAGAGCGCAAAGTTATTCCTATCATTTCAAAATGCTTGGAAGGAATGATTCTTGCAGCAAAATCTGTTGATGAAAGAAGAGTAAGTGGCTATATAATTACCTTTGAATTTTATTTGGTTTAGGTGTGTAGTTTAAATTTATAAAATGAATAGGAAAGGAATGAAGTAATTTCATGCATAGTTTATTAAAAATTATATCTGTAGAAGAAAATCTTGAAGTCAGTTGGAGTGGGTTAGCCCTATGGGCTCTAAGGACTATTCTAAATGCTAAAATTCTGATTCTTAAAAATGAAAATTTCTGTGTTTTTTAGAACAAAAGAAAAAGAAAAATACTTAAGTGGATTTGATGGGTCAACAAAACTTCCAGCTAAAATAAAACTAGATTACTGGGCCTGCCTTTTTACCTCTGCACCTAATGACACTTTGACCCTTTACTACCTTTCTGTGTAGAAAGATATATGTATTTTTAAAAGTTAGAAATAATTTCTAGCTTTTCTTTCCCCACTGATTTTTTCAGTTCTATTCCAAGAGAATAGCTAAACTCTGAATTGTGTGTTACAAACTGTGTCATACTATTTATTGGTCTAGTGAAAGCTGGTCAGACAGATCTAGAGTTGCCTTTAAAACTTGAGTTGGCGATTGAACTGAATCTTAAAGCATGAGTAGTATAGGGAATGGGGACACATGGGGAAGAAGAAGGCATTATGAGTCGAGGGAATGTCATAGATCTCCAAATTGTCAACTCCTTGAGGAAATGTATCTACCCATACCAACTGCCATTGAATTGATTCTGACTCATAGCTAACTAGAGAACTGCCACATAGGGTTTCCAGGGCTGTACCTCTTTATGGAAGTAGACTGCCTCATCTTTATTTCACAGAGCAGTTGGTAGATTCGAACCACGGACCTTTTAATTAGTGGCCCAATGCTTTAACCACAGTGCCATCAGAGTTCCTTTGAGGAGTGTGTCTAATCACATTGTATTATTCATCATTGATGAATGTCTAGCAGAGTCACTTACTGGTCATTTTGCAGTAAACGTTGAGTGAATGACCAAAAAGCATGATTAACAGAAACTGAGGATATGAGGGAAGAGAATCATGTTTGTGGAGTACCTGTTGTGTACTACATATTTATTGTATTTTCATCTTCACAAGCAAGCCTATCAAGATGATACTAAGTTAGTGAGATTCCTTCCTGTAACAAATAATAGAATCCTAACTTAGATTGAGCAAAGAAAAAAAGGATTTTGGGATTCTTTAATTGGGAATTCCAGGTTACCTTTATAATTGGAAATGGCTGGATCCAAGCTTATATGTACAGTATGGTTGGGTCCTTCCTCTTTTCCTCTCTCTCCTCCTCCTCCTTGTTCTTTTTCTCTCTGTGTGTTTCCTTACTGCTTAGCAAATGATTGCTGGGGGTCACATTTATAACAAAAGTAAGGTATGACTTAAGGATGACTTTTGACTCAATGACAGACAAAATGTACTGTTAACAGAAATAGAGGACAAAGGAGGAGAGATGGTTAGGGGTGGGGAAGGGTTTGTGGAAATAAATATTCTGTTTGAAAGGAATTTTCAAAATGTAAGTAAAATATTCAGATAGAGATATGTTTGCCCAAAACAATATGATAGTATTTATTTGAGTGTTAAGTTTTAGATGAACAGTATTAAACTTTATAATATTTTCAAACTTTATTTGCTTTCAACATTGTGAGACCTTTCCCTACTGCTCTATTAGCATTCTGTAGTATATCTTTGCTATAGCTTATTTGTCTACCGTGTTGGATGAAGGAAAGCTTGTCTACTTGTCTGTTACTCTCTTTTATGATTAGATACCCTTCCCTCTGTTCCAAAGAAGGGCCTTCCTTTAAGACAAAAAGCCTTTTTTCCTTCGAACCTTCTCAGAATTTCTGCTTAAGAATACTCTCTTCCTATATGCTTGTTAGTTAGGCCTTTGGTTGGTCAATGAATCCTCAGATGAATTTCAATGGGCTATACATATACTGAGTGAAAACATTTTATGAATATTACAGATTAATAAAGTGGTAATTTGTTTCTAAGGTAGTGTATCTTTCTCTTGGGAATTAAAATTATTAGAGTTTATTACAAATCCACAGAAGAGCTCATTCACTTTAAACCTTTAATGATTATTACAGAATTATTTCTTTAAATTTTTATTAGTTTTCTTGCACTGGTAAAGTTTGGAAAGATAATGTAGTGTTATGAGTGAATAATTTTACAAACTTAAGGTTTTTCATGTATAGGACTCTCAAATGGTGGTAGATTCCTTCAAGTCTGGATTTGAGCCTCCAGGAGACTTTCCATTTGAAGATTATAGTCAGCATATTTATAGAACCATTTCTGATGGGACCATCAGTGCATCCAAACAGGAAAGTGGGAAGATGGATGCCAAAACCACAGTAGGAAAGGCCAAGGGCAAGTTGTGGCTCTTTGGAAAGAAACCAAAGGTAAAAATCATAAAATTATATATGCCAATCAGTTTTTCTTTTCTTTTTAGTGTGCCAGTTAAACCAATTTAGGTATTGAATGGATAATAATTTACAATTAATGGAGGATAAATATTTTCCATTGGAATGATTCCATTGACTTCTCACTTATTAGGAAACATAGCTTTATACTTAAGAATAAAAAATATTTCTGGATGTTACATTTGGCCATCACTCTAATGAGTTAGGGAGCTATGGTAGCACAGTGCCGATGGCATCTGACTGCTAACCAGAAGGGTGGTGGTTCAAACCCACCAGCCACTCTGCGGAAGCAAGACTGGACAATCTTCCGTAAAGATTTAGTGCCTCAGAAACCCAATGGGGGGGGTCCCTATGAGTTGGAATTGACTCAACAGCAGTGGGAGTACTTTTTTTGTTGTTTGTTTATAATGAGTTAGAATATTAAATCACTTGTTAATAGCTACTTAAATTATATTGCTTTTAAAATTTCATTTATGCGTACTTTCAACCAGACTTTCTAAGGAAATTTTATGATCCAACTAAAAGACCACAAAAATTGTATCTCAGAAAGAGCGAACAATAATAAATTACTTGCAGCATGATAAATGTCAAATTATTCCTTCTAGATCGTACTAATAAAATTATTTTTATCATCCAAATAAATTTTTAATGAAAAGAGTTTAAAGTTCTTGGTTAATTGAAATTTAAAAAATCTCTGAGAATTTCATTCTTGTTAGAATTCATCTGTTGACAAGCTGTTTATTTTATTTTTAATTTTTTGGATAGGTTGTTTATTTTAGATAAATCTAACAGTAGGCAAGCAAATGGAATAGTTGAGTTCTTTATCTTTCTTGTCAATTTAGTGATTGTAATAGTAAGAAGAATAAATAAATACTTCAATCTGCCCTGTATTTATTGAAGTATACTTGATTATTTTAATTCATTTTCATGAACTGGATTGGGTATAGATAAAATTTAACTCAAATTATTATATACCTCTAATTCTCTTTAAAGGCACAATTGGAATTAACTCAGTCTTTATTAATATTTTAAATAACATTGCCGGTTGAGAAGTGCAGAGGTGAGACATTTTTCAGTTGGATCAGAGTAGCTAGCTAGGAGGATATAGAAATACAAGAGATACTGAAACAAAAAAGGAGGTGAGATAAAGATGAAATAGAATCAGTCTGAGAGGAAAGCCACAAATATAATGAAAAGTTTTTGGCTGTATGTGACAATTAGTTATAGTTTTATTATTTTGTATATGACATTACCTATTTAGATAACTTTAGCTGTAGCTGCTGCCCTTACGTCTAACAAGTACATGCTAAGTATAAATAACTAGGAATCCAGGATGGTACTAGTATTTTAGAAATTAGAAGAAAATTTTTTATCTAGGTCATTCATTGCTCTCTAACATTATAATTTTTGTGTTCTATATTTCTAATCTCAGTTTGGAAGAAATGATCGATCAAGTGAAATGGTACATTTTAAAAAATAAATTTGACTTGTTAAAATAACAGTTTTTGGCAAAATTTATGTTAACTTATAACATATTAATAGAAAACTTTGAGATATATTTTGTAAAAAGTATGTTGCCAAAACTAGAATTTTCATTTAGGAAAAACCTATGCACATTTGGCTTATTGATTCCTTTCTTTATTTCCATATTAGCCACAGTCCCCACCCTTAACCCCTACTAGTTTATTCACATCCAGTACTCCTAATGGGTCCCAGTTTCTCACATTCTCCATTGAGCCCGTGCATTATTGTATGAATGAAATAAAAACAGGGAAGCCCAGAATTCCTTCTTTCAGAAGCCTCAAAAGAGGGGTAAGTTTAATAATGGGTTAAAATGCATGATGGCCTATTGTGTGTGTAGTGTGGCTTTTAATACTCTCCACCCTCATTATAAGGCTCTCTCCTCTAAATACATAGTTAAAAAACACCAGAGAATTAAGTATAGCTACCCTCAAGTTAAAAACAACTCCTCTTTATAACATTTGAAAAATTCAACCATAAATGAATGGTATTATAAAGAGGGTGCTGGGTACAATCATATTTTAGCTATTTTTTATTTTTGTTTATGTGAAATCATATGTCCACCATTGTCTTGTAATGTATTTACATTTTTAAGACTTTCAGTAATTTGTCACTGGATTTATTATTGTAATAATTTGTCCTAAGGCTGACTTGAACCAATTTATAAAATACTATTTTGACAACAACATTAAGCTTGATTTTAATTGCCCTACTTTTAGAAGCATAAAACATGTTTTCCAACAGTTAATACAAAAAATTAAAGATAGACTTACTGAATATCAAGATTATCTTTGGATCAATTTAAAATGATAGAAGGTAATAGAAGGTATTTTGTGAATTGTAAAACCTATAAAAATACTAGATACTATTGAGTAATGTTTACATGAAATTAATTTTCTTGATTAAAAAAAAGTGTATTTTTTTACTAGAATTTTTCTTTTGTTTTTAAAAATTGGCCAGCCTGTAGTATTTACTTATTCTTAAGTTTAGTCTGCAGATGAAAATTTTCAGAATAGTAAAAGGCAATATTAAACTGTTTCTCAGAAACAACTATTATACTACTGATAAATAAATTAGTGTTGTTCCATTATGTTAGTGAAACTAATTTCTCTTGTTTATGTTTGATTTTAAGAATGTGTTTTAATTATTCACAGCTTGTAATTTAGATATATTTTTAACATTTGTTTGGGCATTTGCTTGGATGTATGAAAAACCAAGGTGTGATAGCTTACAGATAAGAAATCAGAATCTATCAATGGTAGCCCCGGAGAGAGAAGCTTAAGTATAATTATTAACAAAAACCTGCATCATAGTTAGATTCTCTCTCTTTCCTTCCCTCCTGCCCTTCTCTTCCTCCTTTCTTTGCTTCCTTCCTTCATTTCTCATTTACTTTTTGTACCTCTTTCTGTCTTCAAATTGCTTCAGTTGGGTTTCTCTTTTGGCCACTTATAGACAGGATACATTAATTTAGGGTAAGATATGTCCATGACAATGACAAACTTAACTGATGTCAGTAATGCAGAAGTGTCCATGTTCTTTTCTGGACTTCCTTTTATCTTCTCTTGCCACTAACTTCTCCATGTCTGTTTTAACTAATTCTGTATGTGGATGATAATTATAGATAATCGATAGCATTTGCAAAAGAGTCTGAGTAGGTCTGTATTATACCTACAAGCACTAATAAAATATATTTTCATTTAATATGTATGTATGTTTAGGGAGCTCTGGTAGCGTAGTGCCTAAGGCACTTGACTGCTAACCAGAAGGTTGGCGGTTCAAACCCACCTGCCACTCCTCGAAAGGATGGTTGGGCAATCTACTTCTGTAGAGATTACACCTCAGAAACCCAAGGAGGGGTCGCTTTGAGTTGGAGACAACTCAGCGGCATATAACAGCAACATATATGTTTAATATATGTGTAAATATATATATTTAATATATACTAATAAAAAAGCCTATAATACAAAAGGCACTAATAAAAGTACCTTAACACTTGTTTGAAAGACTTTAAGAACTCTCATTTAGGATTTCTGTTGCTTGAATTATAAGGGTAGAAATAATTCCTATGTTGCTTCTGTATATCAGCTTAGATGGCACTAAATATTGTGGTATTACATAATTTATGAGAAATTACTACTTAGTGGCCATATTTTTGTAATTGTTAATGCATTCTACATATTGAATCTGTCAGGCCTAGTTGTAGTACTGTATGTATCATAGGGATATGAAGTAAATGTAATCCTATGAGGAAAAAAGTTTAGGCAGGTAGAATAGTGAGCCCTGGAGAAAGAAGCTTAAATTAAATGTATGACATCTTTATTCTTATTGAGTAAGTCTCTGGGTAGAATTTTACAGCTTCCAAGTTTAAAACTGTTTGCTTAGTTGTTTGTTTTCATTTTAAATATTAATACATTATTTTTAGGGGGGCCTATGTGTAAAAGACCAGAGTCTTCCCAGTTTAATTAGTTTCTTTGACAAAGAAGAAAGAAGTGTGGAAGACAGAAAATATGACAGACAGACAAATGAACTAGGGGAGTGAGCAGGGAGGAGAGTTTATTACAACCTTGGAGCTGAGAAATTTTTTTTTTTTTTTTTGGTACTTGGTAGTTTACTAGATATTATTTCAAAATTAACCAATACACTTGTTTTCCTTTCACTTAAAAATCCTCTCAGTATAGACAATTAAAAAAATTATTTTTACTTTAATAAGCCAATTTGTTTTAAATGGATTTAAATGTATTTTTCAGCTCATTAAGCATACAAAGCTTTGAGGCTAAGTTGTACTATTCAATTCAGAAAATCTTGTTTTGAGCTATTTTTGTTGGATGTTGTTTTTCCTAGATATTTGATTTTTTTTTCTTTTCTAAAATACTAGATTTTTTTTTATATTGTTTTGTTTTTTAAAAAAGGAAAACCAGTTATATAGTTCCCACTGCCAGTGAGGATGTGAGAAATGTTATATAAGATTAACATTTTTTAGTTTGCCGGTATTACTAGTAGAACTTTTCCTTCTGTAACATCAAGTTCTAACTTTTAATGTCTATTTGGGGGCAAACCTAAACTTAGCTACTTAGTATACAAACTAATAACTTTTATTCTCTATCCATTTCATTTGTGCTTCACTGAGTACTCCCTTTTTCCAGTGACAGATTTATCTAGCACTGCATCCATGTTTTATGCATAGGTTATTCATAAGCATATAGACTCCCAGAGTTGTTGTTCTAAGCTTTTCTTTCCAGAATACAGTTCTCAGGATTTTGGCCTGTCTTTAAGTAAAATAATAATAATTTTAATTGCTTACCTGATAGTATTTTTAGTGCCACTGTTTATTTATTAACGTAAAATTAATGTGAAAATTTCTAGATCTAAGCTCTGGTAGTGTAGTACCTAGGGCACTTGACTGCTAACCAGAAGGCTGATGGTTCAAACTCAACTAGCCACTCTTCGGAAGGAAGATGGAGCAATCTATTTCCATAGTGATACTGCCTTGGAAACCCAAGGCGGGGTTGCTATGAGTCGGGTCCGACTCGACGGCACATAACAGCAATAACAACAATCATGTGATATTGTGTATGAGAGTAAGATGTTTTTGTATTGAACATGTATTTAAAAAAAAAAAAAAAAAAAGGCAGAAAAAGTAATATTTTTACAAAGAACCTGTTTTTTTATATACCCAAATCTAAGATTAATGAGTATAAATTTATTTTCTAATTAATAGTAAAGCTAGAGTAGCTGAAAGCTGGAACATTTGGTATTTTAGCTATAGTTATCTTAATGTTTCATTAATTTTAATATAAAAATAAAAAATATAATTTGCATCACTTAGAAATTTCACTGATGAAAATTATCATATAAGATACACCAAATTAAAATATATTATTTGTTTTGTTTCTTGTTCATACATAATTTTGTTTGATAACATTTAATGAAGATGACGAATATCTGTCTTTAATTTTAAACCTTTTTATTGCCTCACCAGGTATTTTGTCATAGCTAAGCAAGTTGTGGTTTTTGTTTCCTGAAACTACTGACAGTCTAAAGAATGTTGAGCTTAATTTGGAAAGATAATGGTTAACAAATGTCATCTTTTCTTATCATCATAACCATTAATACATACTGCCAATTTATCATAGATAAGGGGTAGATATTTTTGTCAGATATTTTTAATGTAAAATTCTACCTGACATTCCTCAACCTTTTCTAAAACATCGTGATTTAGAAGACAGGGAAAAATAAAAAATTTCAGAGGCTTCTAACCAAAGTGATCAATGTGAGGATTAACTTTGTGAAGCTCCACTGTCTATTCTGGGCAGCAGAGTGTATGTGTATGTATGTCTATGTGTGTGTATTTGTGTGCCTGTGTGTTTTAAAATGGAAAGCTGTAGATGCAATGCCAATTTGAGAATCCTACTAACCTACAGAACACAGAAGTGGGTTAGTTACACATGGTATATATATTGTATGAGAGCACACTGGTTGGTCTTTTTAGAATATGTGTCATTTCATATTTTCAATAAGAAATCTGAATCAGTTTTCTAAAAATTAAAATTTTACTTTTAGTGTTGCTTTTTGAGCACATAGATTTAAGAATAAAAACTGCAAAATAGCACTATTTTTTAAAGCAAAATTCAACCCATATCATTGTATCTTTTAGGAAATCTGTATAGGGAACTTGAATTTGGGTAACTCATTTATTTATTATTTTGATGATACATATTTTAAATGTGTCAGTATATTTAAAAAAAAATAGAAATAAAAGCCCAAATACCTAAAAGTACTAAAGTATAAATGTTTCCTTCACCTAACCATGACACATTTAAATTCAGAGCTATAGTTTGAACTATAGAAATTCAAATAATGCTTTCTTTACTTAATGCATTTCTCAGTATTTCATGTAGCATTTTTCTTAAAATGAGAATTATTAGATCTTTTATATTTAGCTCTTTAAATATTAGTATTTTGAGAATGAAAAGTTATATAAATCTATTTCTGTAAATATTCTCATGAAAGAAAAACTGTATTACTGATAGAATGATTATCATTTACTTTTGAATTAAATTTAGAAAATATCTGCCCATTATCATCAGTGTATGCTTTTTTTGCAAAGTCATTTACTTTCCCAAAATGTGCTTAAAATTGTTTTTCTGGCATAATTATTTGGATTGTGCAATGTACATGATTTATTTTAATATTGTGAAAAAGTATAGGTTATTGCATCTTATGTATTATGATTTCATGTGAATAATTTACCATTTCTTTCTGTTTTCCATTGAACTATTCAGTGGTCGGTGAAGATGGTAAGCCTTATGTGCTGATCTATATACTATGCCAACAGTAAATAATCTCAAAACATTGTTTTCTTTCATTTAAAACAAGCTATAAAGAACATCTACACATTTTCACTTTGTATGTGTTTTTTCTTTTTATAATTCATATTCCAGTGCCTCTTGGTGTCATAGATTTGAAAATAATGTGATAAACTATAGCAGCCCATTGAATTCTTACATGTTATTGGGTAGAGTCCTTGCCATTTTAGAGAAGAGAATAAAGTTACATGGTGTAGGACAAAAGTTTTATGCAGAAGGGGAATTTTAACAAAAATGATTTTTTTCCCCCATGAAGAGCATTTAAATTTGATTTTTAGTTTATCACAAGAATCATTAGATTTTCCAAAAGTAAAATTTTCCTGCCAATTGCATTATGGAGTCAGTGCTGTATTTTATTTATTTATTTATTTATTTACTTACTTATTTATTTTGCAGTGTTGAAAGAGAATAGAAGCACAAATAATCTAAAATTGTGTGTGTGTATGTGTGTGTGTATTTGGAATGTTCCTTTGTACATTTATTTCAACCAAATTAATGGAACTACAGTATGAAGACCTGACCCAGAAGTTATTGCTGCATGTGTAGTTTCTCTCTTTCAGACTGTTGAAGTTGGGCCTTTATGAATTCACTTGTAGTAGGAGAGGTTGTTATATGCCTGAGAGGACTTTTTTATATCCAAGGGAAATAGAATGAGTTTACTACTCATGTTCCATGTAAGATTAGGTTATAATGTCAAAGTAGGATATTAGAAGTGCAAGCACTAAGATATCTCGCTTTTAATAAATTTGAGAAGTTTGATTAGGGGTATATGCAAATCTGGACCGTTGACTTGTAGATAAAGATGACTTGGTGACCTTATTATAATAGTACCAAAAATAAATTGAGATAAAACTCTTAATTAAATAACTTTTAAAAAATTTAGAAATATTTTTAAAAATACAAATGAGAAAGTTTTATCTTTGGCACATGAAAATACAAATGAGAAAGTTTTATCTTTGGCACATGTTATAATTGTTTTCAAAATCTGTATCCTGAAGTAGATTTAATTTGGCAGTTTATATTGAGAACTCACCAATAATTTAAAGGTACCTTGTGTAGGAAATTTTGCTTCCCATTTACTTAGGTTAGATATGGGTGATTGACAGATTCTTATTCTTGGTGGAGTGTAAAATTGGAAAATAAAAATAAGCCCCTTAGACAAAATGCCCTACTTTTTTAGTCAGGCTTATTGAATGCCCATAATGTGTACACCACTAGGGATTCTGTTATTAATTAAACGTTACATTTAATTATGGCTTATCCTAAAAGTGAATTTTTTTTCTCTTTCTTTTTTAAAAGTAAGTGAAGCATTCTTACAGATGATGAAGTAAAGCTATTTGCTGTCTGTTACAGCATTAGTGGTATTTACTTTTGATCCAAAGAAAAGGAAGCCTGTGTACATTTGTTTTGGGGTTTATTTCAAAAGCACTTTAAAAACTGTAGTTGTGTGTTCTTAAAATCCCATTTGGAAAACAAAAATGAAGAATGATAGATGTCATCAATTTTTGGAGCATATAAAAAGTAAATATGAGTTTATATTAAATGTAATCAGTAGTTGACTAATACTGATTCTGTTGAGTAATCTCTAACAGCATAGCTAAGGTAACTGATTAAAATAACATTAAGAGACAAAAGACATAATTTAAGTCAGAATTTTATATCTAAATGCTGACATTTTTTTCCCATAAATTAATACAATTTCTTGAATATCAAAGCATTAAAACATTTCAAACATCCTTCCTAAAGAAGGATTATATCTTTCAGGAACAACTGAGGTGTGTTCTTTGGTTACACAAAAATATAATTGAAAATAGACTCCATGTTGGAATATAATTTCTACTTATGTTTCACTCAGTGGAAGTTCTGAATAATGGTTTTAAAAAGTCTAATCTTTCAAAGACTGTATGTAGTAGTAAAGTATATTTTATTAGATTTCCTTTATGAGGTAAGTTGCTTACTTAACTGAATTATTTAAACTCTTCTTATTTTCAGTTTGAACATTTATAATATTCTGAATATCACAGCAATGGGTTTGATTTGGAAATGTGATATGTCATACATAAAACAGTAATTTGTATAGATGAGAAATGTTACATGTTTCCATGTTGTTGTTGCTGTAAGAAAGTTCATATGTGTTCATTTTAACTGCCAAGACTTGAAAATGATGTGATGCTGGTCATTAGCAAGTCTGTATCTAGTGATATTTTTGCCTCTTCTGTTTCATTGTTTTATATAATGACTGAAATTTGAGCTTTTTTGTCATATACAGTTATTTATTAGTTGACATACACACACATCTATCTATCTGTCTATACATCTATCTATCGATCTGTCTATATTTAACCAACAGGTTGTTTGGGACTAATTTGATTTAAATTGGTATATATTCTTCTTATATAATAGGTATATTTTAAAAAATTAAATTTCTTGAAAATGTCTTTTATAATGATACAGACGCTTTTTTCAGGGTCCAGCACTAGAAGATTTCAGTCATCTGCCACCAGAACAGAGACGTAAAAAACTACAACAGCGCATTGATGAACTTGCCAGAGAACTACAAAAAGAATCAGACCAAAAGTATTTTCCTCTCTACCATTACTATTTCTTTCAGAATCTGCTTTTAATGATATGCTTAAATGTGATGTATGCAAGGTTTAAAAATCATACATTATAATTGGAGTATCTTTTGAGGGCATAATATACTCTTACACTTTGAAATATTTTAGGTTGTCATGTCACAGTTAAAAGTGACGTGTTAGAGAGTTTTCGTTGCAGATTTTTATTAGGTGCTGGACTAATAGCGACTCCTCCTGGGGTTTCCAAGGCGGTATCTCTACGAAAGTAGATGGCCCAATCTTACTTCTGAGGAGTGGCTGGTGGGTTTGAACTGCTGACCTTCTGGTTAGCAGTCAAATGCATTAGGCACTATGCTACCAAAGTTCCCTTTAAATAGTATATTTATGCTTTCTATAAATTTGCAAAATAACTTGATGATTCATTATCAGGAATGGCTAAATCTGTTACACTTGGTGAATTTTCATTTTGCTTTGATATATTAATTGAGTTTAATAGCAACTTGAGGGTATAAATACTTTGTTTGTAGCAAAACATGTTGACAAACAGTGCTTGATTACTCTTTGCTTCACATTCGTTTACTTGTAGCTTTAATTTTTTTTTCGTATTTAGCAAAAGGCTTTTTTTAGGTCTATTTTTTATTTAAGGTAGAAGAACTATTTATAATTTTTAAAAATTGATATATAGAAGAGCCATTAAAAGGATTTTTACCATGGAATGGCAGCTTGCTGTCTACTTTTATACTGAAGATAAAATTGAAGCTTAAACTCTAGTATGAGTGATTGCAGTTTGATACTGAAAATTGTGCATCAGGTGTAATCATGAATATTGTACTATTAGTGCAAACAGTTTTTAAAGTAAAAAAATATTTCTTACTAGAGCAACATGTAGTCTCTGGAAAATTATAACATTTAATCTGATATTTGGTATTTACTGTATGTAGTAGACTTTGCCAGCACTATAAACCTGAAAAACCAAACCTATTGCTGTCAGGTCAGTTCTGACTCATAGAAACCCTATAGGATTTGACCAAGGCTGTAAATCATTACAGAAACAGACTGCCACATTTTTCTCCCACAGAGTGGCTGGTGGATTTGAACCCCTGACTTTTTGGTTAGCAGATGACTGCTTTAACCACTGCACAAAGGGCTCCTTGGCAGGAACTGTCAAATTAAAAAAAAAAAGCACAAATTCATTGCTATCAAGTCAATTCCAACTCATAGCAACCCCATTGAGTTTCCAAGGCTGTAAATCTTTACAGAAGCAGACTGCCTCATTTTCTTCTGTGGCGTAATTGGTGTGTTCAAACCACTGACCTTTTGGTTAGAAGCCACATGCTTCTATAACTACATCACCAGAGCGTCTTGGACTACAGAAGATATAAAAATGAATAAAACATAGTCTTTGACCCTAAGAGGTTCACATTCTAGTTTGAGGAAGAGAAGACTCACAAATGACTGATTTTTTACACAAACTGAATTGTGATAGCTGCTAATAGATATATGTAAATAAAATGTGAGGAGTCCCTTGGTGGCCCAGATGTTTCAGCACTTGGCTACTAACTGAAAGGCTGGTGGTTTGAGTTCACCCAGAGAGTTCTTAGAAGAAAAACCTGGTGATCTGCCTGTGAAAAATCATAGCCATTGACAACCCTATGGAGCTCAGTTCTACTTCAGCACAGATGGGGGTGTCTTGAGTTGGAATCAGCTTGACAGCAACTAGTTTTTTCTGTTTTTTGAGGGGAACATAAAGGAAAAAATAATGAATTTCTGCTGATTAAGAAAGACTTCACTGGGGAGGGGGTCAGGGAAGAGGGGCGGTATTTATATAGAACAGTAAAAGTGTTGAATGCTTTTTGGTGGAGTTCAGCACATTTGGGGAGTTGCCAAAAGTTACTGAGACTAGGAGATACTATCATCTCTGTATTCTAAGAAAAGGTAATTGAAAGCTGTGTGAAGAGTAGAGTGAAGGGGAATACGACTGGAGGCAGATCAGTTAAAGGACTTTGTAATAATCCAGGTAAAAGAGGATGAGAACCTAAATTAAGGCATGGTAATAGAAAGAAGGATTAAAGAGAATAATTTCAAAGGCATAGTGGGTCAGACTTGTTACCTGATTGATGTTTGAGAAGAGGAAAATGGAAGAGTAACAACAATAACAAAAAAAGTTTGTGGCTCAACAAAGTAAGTAGATAAAGAGTTCGTTGAAGCAGTGAGAAAAAAGTCTGTGGTAAAGATAATTGTTTTAAAAATCCATTTGGAAATGTCCAGTTGAGTTTTAGAAATGTGAATCTAGAGCTTTATGAGAGAAAGAGGACTAGAAAATACACATTTGGAAGTTGTGATAGGTGATAACAATAAGAGATTATCCTCAAAGAGGAGAATAGGATGAGATGAAAAGAAACCGTTGTCATTTTATGTACCAAAGCCCCTGCCTTCACATTGATTCTGATTCATAGTGACCCTATATGACAGAGAGCTGCCCTGTAGGGTTCCCAAGGCTATAAATCTTTACTGAAGCAGACTACCTCATCTTTCTCCCACAGAGTGACTGGTGGGTGTGAACTGCTAACTTTCTGGTTGGCAGCTGAGAGCTTTAACCACTATGACACTAGGGCTCTTTGTCATTTTATGTAACACTCATTTAAAGGCTGAACAAAAGTGGAGGAAGAGGGCTAGTGAGAGAGATTTTGAGAAAACAGAGACATGAAAAGAAGAAATAAGAAAATGTTAACCCTGGAGTCTGAAAAAAGAGTGTTAGAGGAGTGTTAGTCAATATCGTCAGGTATTAGCAAAAGTTAAGGAGAGCTGATTATGGAATAACATATTGTAATGTGACTGGAGAAGAGGAGATGGGTTAAGAGGAACTGCTGGTGACTGAATTTAGAGGACAAAGGGCAAGTTAAAGATGACATTTCCGTTTCTAGTGAAAAATGAGTAGGAAGATGATGATGCTGTGACCTCAGATAAGACACGGGGTAGAATAGTATGACTGGCTGGAAATAGAATGTTTGATTTGGAACACGATGAGCATGAGAATATTCAGGAATACTTTTCCAGTCTTTGATTAAACCTATATGTATATTAGATAGCTATATGTGTGTGTGTTGTTATGTGCCATCGAGTCGGACCCGACTCACAGCGACCCCTTCTTGGGTTTCCAAGGTGGTATCATTACGGAAGTAGATTGTCCAACCTTCCTTCCAAGGAGTGGCTGGTGGGTTTGAACCGCCAGCCTTCTGGTTAGCAGTCAAGTGCCTTAGACACTACGCTCCCAGAGCTCTTATGTGTGTGTGTAGATAGACAGATAGATAGAGATATATCCTCAGTTAAGAAGCAAGAAATGAGAAATGACATTGTTTTTTGGGGGGAGGTGATTTCAAAATTTTTGTAGATTATTTTCATAAATTACTAAGTATCTATGGTCCATTTTATGCAGATTGTCTTTAATCAGGCAATGTTTGACTGAACTTCAAGAGTTTTGACTGTATTTAAGGTTACGCTGCATATGAGTCCCCAAAATCAAATGAAACTTTTTCCGTCTGGAAGCATATGAAGTGGATATTTAATTCTTTGATTTCTTTCTCTTCTTCAGAGATGCACTCAATAAAATGAAAGATGTGTATGAGAAAAATCCACAAATGGGGGATCCTGGGAGTTTGCAGCCCAAATTAGCAGAGACCATGAATAACATTGACCGCCTGCGAATGGAAATCCACAAGAATGAGGTAGATTTGTTATGCAGCAGTTATCGAAGATAAACTGGTTTTCATAAACTTCATTGTGGTAGATTGTTTTTTGCTATGTTGTTGTTATTTGCCGTGGAGTCGGCCCCGACTCATAGCGACCCCTCCTTGGGTTTATTTGTTAATTATAGGACTGTAATTTAAAAGTAAGGTGTCATTATGTCATTATGGTATAATTTTTAGAATTACTTGTTCATTGAAGTAGTTGTTTTAAATTTATGCCTTTATATAAAACTAAGCATTTATACTGTTTTTATCAGCTATAATGTTGATCACTGACCAAATTAAAAGCATATTTTAAATGTATTATTTTTAAAAAATATTTGTTGAGCTCAGTATTTTTTTTTCCTCTAAGGCTTGGCTCTCTGAAGTTGAAGGCAAAACAAGTGGGAGAGGAGACAGAAGACACAGCAGTGACATAAATCATCTTGTAACACAAGGACGAGAAAGGTCATTTGTGTGTGTGTGTGTGTGTGTGTGTTTTGGGTGAAAATTTACAGAGCAAATTCACTTTCCATACAGCAGTTCACTTACACTTTGTCTCATGACATTGACTACAATTTACCCCAATGCAACAGCTCCCCTCCCACTTCCTCCCAATAGTTACCTCTTCCCTCTGTCCATCCCTCCATGCATCTTGCCCCCTGAGCTGTCTCCCTGTGCATAAGCAGCCCTTCTTTCTCCCATGATTGTTTTCTCCAAGGAGTGTATCTACCTCAGGTTAATGTTCAACTCATATGGAAAGGTCATTTTTTTATAAATTACTTGTATTTCTTCTCTTCCCTAAAACTTTTCCCACCTATTTGTCCTAAACTGCATGCAGTTCTTTTTTCTTCTGCCTTAATAAGTTTGGTTTATAATAATCTCAATCTTTTGAATCTAAGTAAAGATTAGTTTCCTTAACAATAGCTGCAGGTAAAGTATAAAATGTATTGCTGTTTAATATGTCATGCGTCTAAAAACGGAGTAGGAAGATTAAAATATTCCCAGAACTACAGTCTGGAGGTATAGTCTGCTCCTCAGGCATGAGAAGATTTTCTTAAGGTTTAGGTGGAGTTGAGTAGCTTATGCTGAAGAAAAATTTCACTGTCAAGTTACTCAGAGTTCTGTGAAGGAAAACAATGTATGTTATTAATTTGGACCAGAGCTTCCAAAAGTTTCTGTGTTTTCATACAAATTATGATATTTCTCCATTTGGTATATCTTTTTTCATAATAAAATTTAAAAAATTAGGATTCAGCTTAGAGAACATTTTGAGAAACTAAGGTTCAAATCTTGGTTTACTACTTAAAGTGTAACTTTAACAAATTCTTTTTTTCTTTTTCAGAGAGCCACAGTATTTTTTAATTTCAAGGGAAAAATGACCCTGAAAAGCCATATTGACATCTTAACATAAAAATTTTCATATTCCCAAAGTTATTAGCAAAACATAGTTGCATATTGTAATGTAATTTAAAACACTCTTTTAGCTTAAAGACACTTTTGTTAGTAAAAGAATAGTTAAACAACAATAATAATAATTTAAGTGATCCAACAGAATGTGGAAATTCTCAAGCAATATCATTAATATCCACCACTTGTCCGTCAGTTTGTCGTACTGTGGTGGCTTATGTGTTCTTGTGAGGCTAGAGGCTATGCCGCTGGTATTTCTGGTACCAGCAGGGTCACCCATGGTAGACAGGTTTCAGCAGAGCTTCCAGACTAAGACTGGCAAGAAGGACAGAGCCATCCACTTCTGAAAGAATTGGCCACTGAGAACCTTATGAATAGCACTGAAACACTGTCTGATTTATTACTGGAAAACTTTATGAGGAATCTTGAACATTGTCTGATACAGTGCCAGATGATGAGCCCCTCGGGTTGGAATGCATTCAAAATATGACTGAGGAAGAGCTTCCTCGAACTCAAAATAGAGTCAACCTTAATGATGTGGATGGAGTAAAGCTTTTAGGACCTTCATTTATTGATGGGGCATGACTCAAAATGGGAATAAAAGGTGGAAAACATTCATTAATAATCAGAACGTGGAATTTATGAAGTATGAATCTAGGAAAATTGGAAGTTGTCAAAAATGAAATAGAATGCATAAAGATTGATACCCGAGATGATAGTAAGCTTAAATGGACTGGTATTGTCCATTTTGAATCAGACAGTCATATGGTCTACTATGACAGGAATGACAAATTGAAGAGGAATGGTGTCACAGCCATTATCAAAAAGAACATTTCAAGATCTGTCCTGAAGTACAGTGCTGTCAGTGATAGGGTAATACCTATACACACACAAGGAAGACCAGTTAATATGACTATTATGCGAATTTACGTACCAGCCACCAAAGCTAAAGATGAAGAAATTGAAGATTTTTACGAACTTTTGCAGTCTGAAATTGACTAAACATGTAATCAAGATGTATTGCTTATTGCTGGTAATTGGAATGCAAAAGTTGCAAACAAAGAATCAGCATTGGTAATTGGAAAATGTGCCCTTGGCTATAGAAATGATGTTTGAGATCACATGATAGAATTTTGCAAGACCAATGACTTACTGATCACAAATACCTTTTTTTCAATGACATAAACCTTTTATCAATGACATAAATGGTGACAGGTGTTTTGTTAGCAAGGGCCTCAGGGTGTGTGGGACCTGAACCACCAGAGTATGGGAAAAGGTTAATTCCTTAACTGCTTTCACTAATAACGCTGTGGCAGTGACCACTCTAAAGCAATGCAATTATAAGGGATTTCTGTCCACTTCCTCTCCCTCTTAACAAACCAGGTCAAGCTGCACAATGGTATTATAGTTTAGGCTGCTGTTTTGAGGCCAGATCTCCTGGTTGGTCCCTAACTGGTACATGGGCCATGCAGTATTGCACCTTCTGGAGGCTATTGTAAAGCCTTCCAGTTGCACAGCAAGCATCCCAGGGGTGAATTTGTGGGAATAGGCACTTCCTGTCCTATGTTGGTCTGAGAGACAGAAAAGAGAATAAAAGGAGGGTTTTGAAAGGAGGGTTTATACCAAAAGCCAAGTGTCCCCAGCTTCGGCTGTTGGGAGGCCATGGATGGTGGAAACCAATCAACATGACCAACTGTCCCTTCCTTTCTGTCTGATATCCCACGACAACACAATACTGGTACCATCTCCTCCAGCACCTACTGTTGGTGTTCCACCACCACTTCTTCCATACTAGGATGCAAGCCTCTACTTCTGGCATCTACCAAGATATTATCACGGAATTGCTGGCACCTGGCCTCCATCACTAGCGTTTTCCGGCTGCTGAAAAATTTTACACAGAGGAGAAGATAGGGCATTATCACTACATTCAAGTCCTACAATCCAGCAAATCTGAAAACAGTCTTCTAGATGATGCAGTAAACTGGCTAGTCTCCAAGGGGACTTCTTTCCATACTCTTTTCCTCTGAGCCTGTTGATACCTGTGTACAGAAAATACCTAATGCAGCTGATGCCAGACACTCACACTACCACAGTAAAAAAGCCTGCTTTAGAACATCAGCCTTTTTTTAAAAAGCAGCTGATGTCAGGCACATGTGCTCCACCAAACACACAAATGTACACATTCTGCACCTTTAAGACGACTGTTTCTGTTTCTCTCACTTGCTTTCACCTGGGCTTACTTGTTGTCTTCAGTCCTGGGTTTCGGCACCAAAATGTTATCCAGGCAAAGAAGCCTTCCAAATATGTGCCTATTCCAGAGAAAGGTGATCCCACAGAATGTGGAAATTATTGAACAATATCATACACAAGTAAAATCTTGCTGAAGAGAATTCAAAAACCATTGCAGCAGTATATTGACAGGGAACTTCCAGAAATGCAAGGTGGATTCAGAAGAGGAGATGGGGCGAGGGATATTATTGCTGATACAAGATGGATCTTGGCTGAAAGCAAAGAATATTAGAAAGATGTTTACTTGTGTTTCATTGACTATGCAGAAGCATTTGTCTATGTGGATCATAACAAATTATGGATAACATTGAGAAGAATAGGAATTCCAAAGCACTTACTCTGGAGGAACGCATTCATGACCAGAAGGCTGTCATTTGAACAGAACAAGGGGATACTGCATGGTTTAAAATCAGGAAAGGAGTGTGTCAGGGTTGTATCCTTTCACCATACGTATTCAATCTGTATGTTGAGCAAGTATTCCATAATCTGCAGTATGGATTGTTCCTCAACATAATGAAAATGAAAATCCTCACAAGTGGACCAATAAGCAGCATCTTGATAAATGAAAAAGAGACCTCGTTCTAGTTTTGGTTCAAGATTTAAAGGGAAGTAGTCTTGGGGAGTCCTCCAGTCTCAAATGGTGCAGTAAATTGGGTCTTTTGTTTTAGGAATGTGATGTTCTATTCTACATTTTTCTTCTATTCTATCAGGATCCATCTTTTGTGGCAAATCAAGTTCACTTTTGATGTTCTCTGATTCTTACTTCCCTAAAATGTAAAATGGAAATTAAAATGCCCATCATACAGGGTTTTCAGTAATCAAATTATGTGCAGAAAGCAAGTAGTAGTATAGCACCTAGTAGTAACATGTGCTTGGCAAATGTTAGCTCCTCCCTCTCCTTTTCTTTTCTTCCTGATACTACTTTTTGTAATAGTGTATATCTTCACTCTATCAAAAGGTACTCACAGTATACTGGTTTCTATTATTAGCTAAAACTTAGAGTGAAAGAATCTAACCTTTCTGGCATGTGTTGTGTCAGCATATGGCTTTCTGGCTTGCTGAGAGTGCTGTTAAAGCCTAATTTTGCAGGTTTTTTTCAAATATTAAAAGGGAATTTAATAATTTGACTTTTTTTTTAAGCAACATTATTAACATCATTTCCCTTTGACTTAAAAAATATTTAATACAAATAGGATGGCTTTAGATTACCTATGTTTTTGAATTACTAATTTCCCTATTAACATGATTTAACTGGAAATTTACTTCCTACATTCGTTAGGATTCATGGTTTTTAGTAATGAATACTCATGCTAGCTTCAACTGAAAAGGGGTTTTATTGGCTAATTTCAGGGAGAGCTTGCTCTAGGACTCAAGACTCAGTTTCTCTTGATCTCACAGCTCTGCCTTCAACTGTGTTGGCTTCATTACAAGGTTTCATATGGTGATCTTCCAAAGCTCTAGACTTCCATTCCTCTAGGTTCAAGTACAGGGGAAAAGAAGTGAGCTTCTCTTCCTACAACCCCAAGCAGAAGTCTCTGTGCATCTTTGTATCTGGTTGGGTTACAAGCCTACTTGTGAGCTCTTCACTTCAGCCATACCAGTGCTATGCTCTGATGGCACCTCTGGTGCCAGGTTAGGACCAATTCCATCTGAAGCCTCTGAACTGAACATAGTTCTGGATGTTTCCCTTAAGGAATTTCTGGGACCTTTTACCAAAAGAATGGGAGATGAATTCTGAATAATGAGAGACAAATGTCTACTACATTTTTTCATTTTATCCCTAGACCCAGCAATAGTGAGACATATTTACTGAGTATATGTTATGTGCCTAGAACATAATTTTTTATTTCAGGAATTTCAGCAAAGAAGCATTTTATATTAGAAGCAATTTATATAATCAATGTTTAAGAAAATAAGAACTTAATCTGGAACCATGTCATTGATATTTGATTCCTTCACTTGATCCTAAGGAGGTCAATTTGTAGATAATATAAAGAGTTTCCATATGGGTGATACTTGATCAGAGATAATTTTATGTTTTATAGTCCTGAGGGAAGTTACACTGATGATGCAAACCAGGAAGTCCGTGGGCCACCCCAGCAGCATGGTCACCATAATGAGTTTGATGATGAGTTTGAAGATGATGATCCTTTGCCAGCTATTGGACACTGCAAAGCTATCTACCCTTTCGATGGTACGATTTTCTTAATATATTGTGCTCAATAAAATTGGTTTCTTAAAGTCTAAACGTATCAAATCAATCCCTTTAGTGTTCTTGGCTAAATAATACATTGTCAGAAAATTTAAATCCCAGTTAATTACTATGAATATTTTTATCTCAATTCTATTATATTTGTAGAGAATTTTCCTTTTCTTCTATACATGGAATTAAAAGAAAGTTACCCATGTTATCATTGTCCTAATACAGATTATTATTTAATTATCAACTTTGGTTGATACAGAATTCTCAGAAATCTTACTAATGGCTGCATATACTCAATGAAGATGAAGCAGCTTGAACACACAGCCCAGTTCAGTAAGTGGAAGGCTGGTATCTGTCACCTCATGCTGTTCCTTGAGCTTACTGACATTGAGACAAGGACAAGATAGATGGCACTGCTGAATGCCACCCCTTATCCTGACTGTAAGCCTCCTTGCAGGTGAGGAAGGGGAAGAATGTTGTAACTTCTAGCTTTGCCATCCCTTCCTCTGTGACAGTGGGAGAACAAATCCTGTGAGAGAAGTAAGGCATTGTGGTTCTTTGCTGCAGAGTTTTTGTTATCCTTCTTGCTTTTGGACTATGAAAAGTCATTTTCTTTAACTCACGGAGGAGCAGAGAAGCACCTGCACAAATACATTTTTGTAAAACTGTATGTAATTTAAGGTCCTTCTCCACTAATCCATTGTATTGGATTTTCATTGAATAAAGTCTTTAATTACTCCTTATTCTGAAAAAATATATTGAGGAATAAGATCTTGCTTTAATGTAATTTAGTGAGTGGGGAAAGAAGTTAGCATATGTTGAATGAAGATTTAGTTATGAAAATTATTACTGCTAAGCAGATTGGGAGTGGTTGAGGATGGGGAAAAAGGAAGCCCTGAGACTGCTGAAGTTTTGAGGGAGGTTTGTCTGTAGCTGTGACCATTCCACTTCTGCCATCACCAGAGTTGAACTTGTGTTTTTCTTTCCGCTCTCTCCTTAAACCTTATTTTTTTGCTGCTTTCTTCCCACCTTCTCACTGTTTTGTTACTATTCCCCTGATCCATGCCTTATGGTATTTTAGATAGCACTCAAATTTGGGAAAAGATTTTGGAATAGTGAATTAGGAAGGAAAATACCTTGTCAAATTAAGTAATGTCACTGTGGCTCAGTTGTTTCATCTGTTACATGAGGGTGATACTAATGCCTGCCTCAGTGGGTTGTTGTGCTGCTCAGATGAGATACTGTGTATGTAAAGTGTTGAGTAGATGACAGAGCATCCTAGAGATGTTGTTACTAATGAGAATCACTGGACTCAGGATTCCAGGTAGATTTAAATTTGGTAGTATTTCATGTTATTTTGTGTTACATTTGTAACTTTTATTCATAATTATCACTGTGTTTGAATTATGCTTGAATTATGTAAACTCTCCTTTAAGGACACAATGAAGGTACTCTGGCAATGAAAGAAGGTGAAGTGCTATACATTATTGAGGAGGACAAAGGCGACGGATGGACAAGAGCTCGGAGACAGAATGGTGAAGAAGGCTACGTCCCCACGTCATACATAGATGTAACTCTAGAGAAAAACAGTAAAGGTGCAGTAACTTATATCTAAACTGAGCAGCTCTGTGCTGTGCATAACATAAGAAAGATAACATAAAATGAAAGCATACTCAACAGGTTGGAAAAAGGAAAGTTTAAAGGGCATCCAAGACTTATTGTGTTCACTATGTGAGCTGAGTGTAGGCTTGATCTTAGAAATGTGATTACTTCCACAAGAAAATGTTCTCGTGACATTTTACCGTTTGAGTGATGTTGGTGTGGAGCTTAGTAGTTGATACCTTTTGCTTTATGTCCTGCTTAAATCTGTGTGAAGGATTTGTGTTTTCCTGGCTTCTCAATCATCGAATTTGGTCTGTTGGACAGGAATACTTAGATAGAAAGCTTTCCCTCCCTTTGCTTCAGAAAACACATTGAGTGTAGTGAATTCAAACAAGTAAAACTGCTCTGAAAGAGTGGTTTGTTCTAGGAGTTTGAGTTTGTAGCTATAGTTTCCAGGAAGAAAATGAATAATTGATTAATTAAGTAAAATAATTTGTTAATAATTTTCATTTTCCTTTCTATTTTTAACTTTGGTTTTCTAAAGGAAGGAAACAAGTATGTGTAGCACATCATCTATTTAAGTAGTAGATTAATCAAGAGACCTGCAAAATAAATCAGCGTGGTCTAATACTTTTCAATAATACACAAACTTCCTTCTAAATTAATTTTATGTTTGTATTTTACATCTTGAAAGTGTCTTTTGGGAAATATCACTTTAGTGATTTTATAGCATTTAGCAGTTATGTAGGAAAATAGATTCTAAATGAACTAAGAGGCGCTCATGAGTGGAGGGGAGGAGAAACCACACTGCCTTGGAGTTGAGTGGAAAGGAAGGACTGTCACATATTTATTTTTGAAAGAAAAACGACTTTGACTGAGATGGGGGAAGCTATCTATATGACCATTTAGGACATTTCCTCATTTTAGCTGAATCATGTCTTATTAGGATAAATTATTTTTTTTTCCAATTAATTTCAACAAGCATATGTTGTAAATGGCTGTATAGTCAATTCCACTATTTTCCCACAGGGATTGTGCAGTGCTGTTGGTGTGATCACATCCTAAGTTAGTTGTGTGGGGAAATAAAGTGAGGAAACGATTAAGAGACTGGTCCTTGATTTTGCTCATGTTCCAATTTTTTTTGATGTTCAGTAGCTGACTATAAAATGATTGTAGAGACATTTGGGACAGACACTTTTAACTGAACACCCTTTTTGGTCTTACCAAAGGTCTTCAGTAATTGTTCTTTTCTTTTTCCTCCTGGACTGCAGGTTCCTGAAGAGGGTTTCTGAGGAAATGGGCAAGATGTTGAAGGAGGTTACATGCAGCTGCTTTTGGGGGGAGGGTTTTAGAATTTTCAGGCTCAAAGAGAGAGTGAGAGAAGCAAGTTGCATGAGTGCATGGAGACATGATTATTTTTTACTAACTTCATTAGCATTTCCATACTTTTTTAAAAAATCATTATAATACCAATCCTAAAATTCCTCACAATTTTTTACAAAAAAGAAAAAAAGGAAGGGGGGTGCCAACAGTGGCTGACTTTTTTTTCCCATGTGTTTTACTGATGTCCAAATTCGAAAGAATGCAGAGCTGTCATTAATTCTGACTTACATTTGGCTGTCCCAACAGGACTGTCTCCATCCCAGCTCTGTTTTGATTGGCTTTTACACCCATTGTCTGTTAGAATCCTTGCCATTTGTCATTGTCTGCCTGCGCCACCCTCGTGCTCGCTTAACATCCTGTTGCATGTTAGAGTGATCGGGTTAGATTTTCCAGGCATGTCTTTATAATCCCTTGTTCTTGTCAGTGCCTTTGTTTTGTTTTACATTTATAGTGCAAATCAGTTTGTCAAAGCATCTTCAGCACTAATGTTTCCATCTAGTATTTGTGTATGCTGCTATAACTTCCCCACTGCAAAACATTCCAGTTTTGGCATTATGAAGAAGTAGTCTATGAACCTGAAGTATTTATGGTAAGAAAAAGAAAACATCTCTGCTCTAGTCTACAGCCCAGTTGAAAGAACTCTTTGAAACATGATACGTCTTCAGCACCTCAGTCTGGGAAGAATCTATAGTCAGCACTGAAATCCTGGCATTAAGACACAGAAGATACTCACCACCTCAAGACAAAGGACTGTTTTCAAGTCAGCTGCTTCCATTCAGATGCTGCCTTAAACTAGAGTGCCTAAATCTGTTGATTGCCAACACTTCCACTACAGTATCCCACAAAGGGCTTTACATGTCAGCTCTGGGCGACCTCCTTTAACTCTGCAGCTCTGCTGCAGCTGCCGATGTAGCCTAGGTAGGTGGCTTTGAGACCTCTACCGTGGACGATGGTGCGTCTTCAAATTTATGCATCAAACTCAAGACATGTCCGAGTCCATTTTACTTTACTCAGTGTTTTTAAGAGAAATTTTATGGACCCTCCCCATTGTCTTTTAATTTGGGGTTACAAAATCCTCATTTGATTATTAACAATGATAGTCTGTTTCCAAGTGATGCTTTTGTTTGAATCAGATAAAATTTAGTGAAACTTTGTAATGATCTATATGTGCACTTTTAATTGTAAAATGGAAATTTCTGTATGTTTATACTTGTAAATACAATTGTTAGTGCCCCTGTTGCTCATGTTGTCCTGCTTCACATTTGTGATTCTGTTACTGACTTGTATCCTAACTAGTTTCTTAGTGATGTTGTAATAGAGAGATAGGGGGAGGGGGGAGGTATTTGTACCACTAAAGCTTCATTAATTTGGTTCTTTACTGTTTTGAGGGGAGAAAGAGAACGTGAAATGGTCTGTGTATTACTGGGTTTTAAGCAATATTTTAGGAGCTGTGTGACTGCTTTAATAATTTTTTCCCCAGTGTTACTTGAGTTGTACTACCAGTTATACTAAAGCTGAATGACAGTTGTGTGAAAGTTAATGCCTTCATAAGATCAAGTATGCCACTGTCACACAGCTGACCTAAGAGTGTATTACTTTCGAGGCTAGTAAACTATAAAGTTTAGATTTTGAATCTCGTTACAGGGTTATTTATATAATGTGACATTATTCAGTACTGACAGACTACGTGAAGTAGTTTTAAAATCTAGTGCTATTTTTATTTTAAAAGTTAGCAATGAGGAGGAAATGTGATCTGGCTGTGTTTGTCTTCTGTACAAAGCCTGAAGTGCTTGTATTTTTTGGCTAACAGCCACAGAGGGCAAAGTTTAAGGCTTTCTGGTAAGGACTAACTGTTCTTTTCAAGCTACTGTTTGTTTTTGTAAAAGCAGGATTTGCTTCCGTAGGAGGCAAGTTCCTTCACGTGGAATTGTGCAACCTGTATATGAGTTATTACACTAGGAGCAACATTTGTACTTGCACAGTTTAAATCATCCTTCAGTTATTCTTAAATTTTGAACTTGTGACTTGTCCAAGAGAAATCTTTAATTTTTCAGTAATTTTTACTCTCTTTGTGCACATGTTGATTTCTTAATGGTAAATGCGTTGTTTAAGATAGTGTTCTTGGTTGAAAATATTTTCATGGAATAAAACAATCTTTTCAATGGTCAGTTAAAGTGTATAGCATGTTATCTGTTGTTGCGCTGTGAGCTAAAGCGATGTAATGATTTTGTCTGTGAATATGCTAAATTTCCAATAATACAAAGTAAGTGACAAGGTCTAGAAGTGGAAGCATCTGTGTTAGGCAAAACACTTTAGGAAATTTTATTCTAGTTTTAGTTTCTCTCAAGCTTTATTCAGGGAAAACAAAAAAGTTAATAGTTTCCTTAGAGTGAATACAAATTACATGAAATGATTCAGACTTATAGCTTTGTTCTACAGTAGCTGTAGTTTACGGACTTCCCTTTTACATCATCTTACCCTCTTCATCCTCGTGAGCTGTCCCTCTACCACATACCCTAATCCAGCCATCACACGCTGGCCAGCATTTCCTGTGCTTCTGCCTGAGTTCCTGATTAGCTGGGAGGCAACACCCGTGTCTTCCTGGCATTTCTAAGCATAAAAAGAGAATGTTTTCCATAATTAGTGTCACATCTGTCATTTTAGGAAGTCTAATTTCAGAAGATTCTACTTTTTAAAAGGGCAAATATGAAACTATGACTAGAAACTTTTGAAACCCAAAAAGGGCATGAAAATCAGGCTAATCCCAAACAATGAAAGACTGCGGTTATTGAGATCTGTGCCAGGCTTGGAAGTAAGGAGCACAGAACAATGGAAGTAGCAGGAAAAGAATATCTAATGCTGCAGCCGCAGATGAACAGTGGATTCCTTAAATAAACACAAGCTCAAACAATGAAAAGTGCTTTCTACTGTCTGGTCTAAGATCAAGGAAGTCAAATGCCTACTTGCTAGGGAAAGATAACATCCTTACAATTGTATTAACAAAAGAGAAAAGGATCCCCAGACTTAGTTGATAGATTTATTTGTGAAGGTGTTAGTTTAGGTTAAAAAAAAATGCTAAAGAAACACCCAAACATATTTCAGTGAGCTCACAGACCTGGGATCAAATTTATTCCTAAGTATAAAACCACTTGCGGTAATCTAAGAAAACAAATATATTAAAAAACAAAACCCAAGCCAGTTCCCATACAGTCGAGGCTGACTCCTGGCAAGCCCGTGTGCTCTGGAGTAGGATTAATCCATCCATTGGGTTTTCAATGGCTGTTGTTGACCTTGCAGAAGTAGGTGACCAGGCCTTTCTTCTGAGAAGACTCTTAAGTGGACTCGAACCTCCAACCTTTCATTTAGTACTGAATGCTTACTGTTTGTGCCAGCCAGGGACTCCTACAAAATATAAGAGGTGCCAGAGATTGGGGGATGGCCAAACACAGTTTGAAGAGTAAATTTCTGGGAAGCTGTAAATATGCTGGATAGATAACTTTGTCAGAATTTAGGGTAAGTGTAATGGTAGAACCTCTGGTTTCTAAGAATTGTTGTTGTTTGTTGTTAGGTGCCATCAAATCAGTTCTGACTCATAGTGATCCAGTGTACAACAGAACAAAACACTGCCCATTCTGGTGCCATCTTCACAGTTGTTACTTTGCTCGAATCCATTGTTGTAGCCACTGTGTCAGCCCATCTTGTTGAGGGTCTTTTTTTTTCACTGCCTACTTTACCAAGCATGGTGTATCTCTTCAGGTACTGGTCCTTCCTGACAACATGACCCAGGTATGAGAGGCGAAGTGTCACCACCCTTGCTTCTAAGCAGCATTCTGGCTATGCTTTACCTAAGTCCAATTTGTTTGTTCTTCTGGCAGTCCATGGTATATTTATGTTCTTTACCAACACCATAATTCTAATGCATCAGTAATCCTTTGGTCTTCCTTATTCATTGTCCAGCTTTTGCATGCATATGAGGTGATTGAAAATACCATGGCTTGGATCAGGCACACCTTAGTCTTCAAAGTGACATTTTTGCTCTTTGACACTTTAAAGAGGTCTTTTGCAGCAGATTTGCCCAATGTAATACATCATTTGATTTCTTGACTGCTGCTGCCATAGATACTGGTTGTGGATCCATGTAAAATGAAATCCTTGACAACTTCATGACACATTAGCCTCATTTCTTTTTTTATATACAAATTGGGAACTCTTTAGAGTTACTCTTTAGTTAATGTCTTGACTTCAGCACAATTTTAGTATGTGACAAAATTTCCTGTTTTTTTTGAGAAAAATGGTGACAGCATTTTTGTGGAGAAAGGGCCTTGCAACAAGCTGATTTGGTAGACCTAGAATGTCAGTCCAGAACTGAATTTCTTGTGGATAATTCCAGGGCTCTGACCTCAGCCTTTCTTTATTAAATAGTGGTTTAACTTAAGTGAAAAACCAGAGGGCATGCTAATTAGTTGTAGTTGATAATACAAAATTTTCTCAGTGCTGTGGACATTAGGCCAAAAAAGATGAAATCCAAAAAAAGATAGATTACCTTTTTTGTTGTCATTATTACCTTTAGGATAAAAAGTACATGTTGACTGGGACCAGAAAGAATATCAGAAACATGTTTTACCAAGTACATGAAGGCATTCGACTGTGTGGATTGTAACAAATTATGGCTAACCTTTTGAAGAATGGGAATTCCAGAACACTTAATTGTGCTTCTGCAGAACCTCTACAGAGAAAAGAGGCAGTTGTTTGAAAAGAACAAGGGAATACTGTGTGGTTTAAAATTAGAAATTTGTGTGGCAGGGTTGTGTTCTTCCACCATATTTATTCAATCTGTGTGCTAAACAAATGATCCAAGAACCTGGGCAGTATGAGGAAGAACTTAGCATCAGAACTGGAGAGTGACTCATTAACAACCTGAGATACGCAGATGACTCCAATCTTGCTTGCCCAAAGACAACGTGAAGCACTTACTGATGAAGATCAAAGACTAAAGCATGCAGTATGGATTACATCTCAACATAAAATTACAGCTGGTCCAGTAGACAACATCATGATGATTGGTGAAGAGACTGACGTTGTCAAGGATTTTATTCTTTTTGGATCAATAATTAATGGCCATAGAAGCAGCTAAGAAATCAAACAATATATTACATCAGGCAAGTTTGCTACAAAAGACCTTAAAAGTGTTAAAAAAGCAAAGATATCACTTTGATGACTAAGGCACACCTGACTCAAACCGTGATATTTCAGTCACCTCACATGCATGTGAAAGCTGGACATTAATAAAGAAAGACAAAGAAGAACTGATGAATTTAAATTGTGATGTTGGTGAAGAATACCAAATATACACCATCGGCTGCCAGAAGAATGATCAAATCTTGGAGGGAGTACCGCTAGAATGTTCCTTAGAAGTGAGAATGGTGAGACTTCATCTCCCTTATTTTGGACGTGTCATCAGGAGGGACCAATCACTGGAAAAAGGTATCATGCTTGGTAAAGGAGAGAGTCAGTGAAAAAGGACACCCTCAGTGAGATGGATTGACAAGTGGCTACAAGAAAGAGCTCCAGTAAGCAATGATTGTGATGGTGGCACAGGAATGGGCAACATTTAGTTCTGTTATACATGAGGTCAGTGTAAGTTAGAGCTGACTTGAAGGCACCTATCAATAACCTGCTGATGAACATTTGGGCTGTTGCCAGCCTTTTGCTAATATAAACACTACTGCTATGAATGTGTGTGCTTTGTGATCCAAATTTCTCTAAGGTCTATAAGAGTAGAATTGCTAGGTTGTGGGTTATATTTATCGTCAGTTTTAAAAGATAATATCACATCCCATTCCTCCCCACAAAGTGATTTTAACATTTATATACTTCTACAAACTGGATAGGAGTATTCATAATCCATAGTGTGGCTAACACGTGAGAATCAGACTTTTCCATTTTTGTTAATTCTTTGGGTTTAAAATTGCATCTCATTTTAATCTTAATTTGCTTTTCTCTGATTATTGATGAAGTTGTACATATTTTCATATTTATTTACTATTAGTGTTTCTCTTCTATGAAAAGCCTATTTGACCATATTTTAATTTTGGTTGATCATTTTTTCATACTCATTCATGGGAATCCTTTATTTATTAAGGAGGCTAATTTTATTTGTTATCTCTTGCTGTGTAACAAATTACTTAAAAGTTTAGCAATTTAAAAGAGCAGTCCAGGAATCCAGGAGTCCCTCAGCTGGATGGTTCTGCCTCAGGGTCTCTCATGAGGTTGCAGTCGTATCAAGGCTTGACTAGGGTTAAAGAGTCCACTCCCGCTCATTCATATGATTATTGGAAGCCCCCAGTTCCTTGCTGAGTGTTGGCCAGAAGTGTCAGTTCCTTTGGCACCATGCTTCCCCCAGCGTGAGTGATGAGAGAGAGAGAGAGAGAGAGAGAGAGAGAGAACGATGGGGTGGTCTTTTTATAACCTTATCTTGGGTATGACATACCACTGCTTCTGCCATATGCTTTTGGTCACACAGACCAACCTGACACATTGTGGGAGAAAACTGCACAAGGTGTGAACACCAGGAAGAAAGGAACATTGGGGGCCATACTGGAAGCTGCCTACCACACTAAGCTTTTGTCAGTTTAAAGGTTGCTAATCAAAAGGTGAAGACTAAGGTGCTCCTAACCCAGGCTTGGTGTTTTCAGTCACCTCATATGCATGTGAGAGCTGGACAATGAATAAGGAAGACCGAAGAAGAGGTGATACTTTTTAGCTGTGGTGTTGGTGAAGAAGACTCTCAAGTACCATGGATTGCCAAAAGAACTAACAGATCTGTCCTGGAAGAATTGTAGCCACAGTGCTTCTTGGAAGTGAGAATGGCCATACTTCGCCTCACCTACTTTGTTCATGTTGTCACAAGGGACCTTCCCTGGAGAAGGATATCATGCTTGGTAAAGTAGAGGGTCAATGAAAAAGAAGCCACCCCTCAACAAGGTGGATTGACACAGTGACCCCAGTGATGGGCTCAGATATTGCAAAGACTGTGAGGCTGGCACAGGGCCGGGCAGTGTTCTGTTCTGTCGTACACAGGGTCGCTGTAAGTCAGAGCCGACTCAACGGCACCTAACAACAAATCAAAAGATTGGAGTCTGCCCAGAGGCACCTCAGAAGAAAAGCTTAGGTA